GCACTCTAATTTGTTTAATTTCGATGAAGATTTTGTTTTATCCTTTGTTTAATATTAGTTTCAGGTAACTAATGGGCATTTTTCTTTTCATTTTTGTAAAGATTCTATTAATTTATATTAAGTGCACTCTTAACGGAACAACCTGCATCCAATCAATAAAGTATCTGTTGAACATAAAAAAATTTATATGGTATTTACCTCTTTTAATTAATTAAGTGGTAAAAATCTGTGTTTAAAAAATGCGCCTTCAAAGACAAATTTTATCAATTTAATTTTGCAAAGATTATAAACGAGTTTATAAAGGTAAAATTTTGAATTATGAAAAAGATAAAACGAAAATTATTTTAAGAAACTTTCACATTAGTGTTACATTTTTAAGAATTTAACTTAAATTATACGATTTCCGATAAAAAAAATAATAAAATTTAACACTATAGTTATTATTATGATAAAATATTTAATATTTGATGACATAACCTTATATTATGGGAAATAACAAAAAAATATATATAATTTCTATTTATGAATGAAAAATAATAAGAAAGATGCTAATATTTTACACAAACTTAAAATTCCCATCCTCGACAAAAAGTAGGCTAAGTAATTAAAGTATACTCTTTTCTGAGTATTTAATAAAAATAATAAAAAAGTAATAGTGATAAAAAAGTAAAAGTGATAAATAAAAGAAGTTACTAAGTAAAATTAAATTAATAAATTAAAATCTTGATATTATAAAATCTATTCAAATATTTTTTCAGATATAGTTTCTGCATTTTAAACGTTAAAATGAAATAAAATCCAGTAAATTTTACATCCAGGCATATTTTCTTTCTCAACCTATTTTATTAGATGTCAGATTTCTCAATATAATTTATCAAAAAAGGTTTTTTAAGCTTTCTAATGCTCATTTGTAGCATAAGTCACGTAGTCAGGGCAGTTTTGTTTACATAAGGGATTCTAAGAGTTGGAAACCTGTAGTTCGTAAACAAATTTCTTATTTATGCCATATTCTTCGTAGATTGGGACATATATCACACTCCTGATATTGCAAATGCTCTAGCTGCTGCTTTCTCTGAAATCTCTAGCGCTTCAAATTATAAAGAACCTTTCGCCACGTTTAAGAAAAATATCGAAAAAATTAAATTGACGCCAAAAGACGACACAGATTGTAATTATAACCGGCCATTTGCAATAAATGAACTCCAATATGTTCTAAAAAACACTCATCCTTCTACACCTGGACCAGATGAAATCCATTATTCAATGCTGCAAAACCTGAAGGATAGGGCTTTAGCGCTTCTACTTCAATTATATAATCGTATATGGACAGAAAGAGTTTTTCCACAGACCTGGTCAACAGCATATGTTATCTCTATTTTGAAACATGTCAAGAATTCCGAAGAAACCACAAGCTACAGACCAATAGCCTTAACTGTCTTTGTAAATTTTTTGAAAAGATGGTAAATAAACGTTTAGTGTTTTTACTTGAATCGCGAAATCAATTATCTCCTTATCAAAGCGGTTTTCGTATGGGTCGCAGTACCAATGATAATTTACTGAAACTTGAAACCGACATCCGTCACAGCTTTCTCATAAATCAACACTTGGTTTCAATATTCTTTGACGTGGAAAAAGCATATGACAGGACGTGGCGATATGGAATCTTGCGAGATTCAACCAATTGTGACATTGGTGGAAATTTATCTTATTTTATCAAGCCAGGGCATTTAGAGTTAAAATTAGTTCAACTTTATCAGATGTTTTTCCCCAGGAGCAGGGTGTTCCTCAGGGAAGCGTTTTAAGTGTGACACTTTTCATTTTGAAAATTAACGAAATTTTAAATCTACTTCCCCCGACTGTCTATGGCGAGCTGTTTGAAGACGATTTTAGAATTTCATGCCGATCTGTCAGTATGTCACTCATTGAACGACAACTACAAATAGCTGTGAATAAAATTTTAAAATGGACTAATGAAAACGGTTTTACAATCACGCCGCAAAAAACTCATTGTGTACATTTCTGCCGCAAACGCGGTATTCATCCACATCCTGAAATAACTCTGAATAATTATGTTATTCCTGTTTTAGCAGAAACCAAGTTTCTGGGAATGATTTTCGACCAAAAATTGACATTCAAGCTGCACATATATTATACTAAAAGAAAATGCTCTCAATCACTTAACATTCTTAAGGTCTTCACAAACTGCTCATGGGGGGCTGACATGGACGCAATGCTTAAAATATATCGCGCCGTAATCCGTTCCAAACTTGACTATGGTATTTATGTATGCTCATCAGCCCGTCAATCTGTATTAAAATAACTGGATACCATCCATCATCAAGGACTAAGAATTTCATCGGGTGCATTTAGGACTTCTCCAATTGAGAATCTTTATGTTTTATGTTCGGAACCGTCTCTGCATTTTCGTCGTTACAAGTTATCTCTGGACTATTATTTTAAAATAAAAGCGAGCCCTCTTCATCTACTCTACCCTCTTTCCCATATGCCAATAGTCCCAGTTGCCAATTAGCCTAATTCATATGAAGAAGTCGGGTGCCCGCTGCAGCGGGCAGGTACTTCAACGAAGACCAGATCAAGTCAAATCAAGTCCACTCCATTCTTGTGTTTGCCCTCCACAACTTGTTACTCACTTCTCTTCACGTCCATCTTACATTCCTTCATTTGGAATTAGAATCACCAACATTTTATGTGAACTTAACGTTTTAAATTTTGAGGTTTTTACTAGCACTGACGCTGTCCCACCATGGGTTAACCTTACAACTTGAGTTTCAAACGTTTTTAGTAATATGAAAAATTCCGAGACGAACCCAACAGTTTTTAGCCAAAGATTTTACGAACATCGTCATCAATACATGGATTTTACACCTATCCATACAGATGGATCGAAACATAATAACCATGTTTGTTGTGTTGTTTGCGAAAGTTCTAATATTTCTGAAAAATTTCTTCATGAAACTTCAATTTTCACCACAAAACGCTATGCTATTTTGCTAGCGCTTAATTTATCTCAGACCAAACTAAACGTAAATGGATAATTTATACTGACTCTCGTAGCTTTATATCTAGTGTTCCGTATGCAGGAAAAAATACTATAATTCAAAAACACTTTACGCAATTGCAAGTCCGAGGTTTCAACATATATTTTTGTTGGATACCTTCGCATGTCGGCATTCTTGGAAATGACCGTGCTGATATCATAGCTAAAACTACTCATAACTTAAGCAGTAATCTCTTGACATGTTTGGATCGTAAAGACATTTGTACATCTTCAATTCATCAGGCCTGGAAAAATCATTGGAATACGCAAAATAATAATAAATTACATGAAATTTATCCTAATCTTGAAATTAATTAACTGCTGATCGCAAGACCCAGACTTTAATTCACCACTATGCCATCTTACAAAAAAATATTTCTGCAAGAGAATCTCTGTGATGGATCTGTTCTAAGGATGCTAATTTGGATTTTCAAGACAAAGCAATTAGTTTTTAAATATTCATATAGAAATTTTGTTACCAGTTTTTTAGTTTCTTGAGGACGATGTTCAGCTTAGATGTGAGCATTTAAAATAGTTCTTTCATACAATCATTCATATGCAGAAAACATTTTAAATTTTTTTCTTCATAATTTTGCAGTGATTTTCTGTCTTTACACCATCATATTTTGGTCTACGGATGATTATTAATATACAGCATTATCATTTGTTATTAAATTTTGTCTTATGATACAAAATGAAATTTGTGGAAACTCTTTATTCAAAGCTTTCTTTCAAAATTTACAACAACAAAAAAAGTGAGAAAATTGTTTGAAACTTTTCTAGTTTTTAAGATATTCCAATGGAACCCTTTTCATCACTAACCATACATGAATTCATTACAAAATCATACAGGAAAAAATTTTGGAATGTAATTTATCACCTAAGCTACGGCTTCAAATGCAAATGTACACTCATGAAACATTGATGTTATTTTAATGGAACATATTTTCTATGTAATTTTCAATGTACTTTATATTTTAGAAGAAATAAAAGAGTACTAAATGCTTAAAAAAATTGCAGACATTTTAAAACACATATTCCTAGAATTTTTTTATTAAATATCCACTATTGAGAAAAACGAAATTGAAATTAAAAAAACTAATTGCTAAAAAATTATTTTGAACAACAAAATGCCTCATGTAAACATGAATAAATTTTTAAACTGTTTTCCCCCCAAAGGTATGTAAATGCACCATTTCAATAAATATTTTTAATAGCCCTGACATACATTTTTCACTTATTTTTTCTGCTTTTTTAAGGGTTCTGAAAACATCCATAAAATATTAGTAATTCAATTGGCGTAAATACTTTCTGTAGAAAAATTTTCAAACTACCAGTTTTTTAACTTTCACAGTTATTGACAAATTCAACTTTCGGAAAATGTGTAATTTTTCCACTTGAGATTAATCATATGTTTTTATAATGGATTTAAATTGAGAGTTTTGTAAATGAAATTTAAATAAATAATAATAATAAATGTCACAAAAAATTAAGAGTTCAAAAATATGATTAGTTCACTGATTTAATCAATGGTACATATACACACCATTTATTTCTTAAATAAGGTATCAATTAAAATATTCACTAAATATTTTTTTATTTATTCAAAACTTCACCAAAAAGGGAAAATTTAATTTTTATTTCTTTCAATGCTAATTATTCGCAAATTATTTTCTAAATGAATTTCTGTTCCTAATTGGAATACCCTAGTTTCAGTTCAAAATTAAAAATATTTTGTAAGTGTGAATGCATGATTTTTAATAATTCCAATAACTTTTAAGTTAAAGAAAAAAATATTGATACAGCTGGTATAATAGTATAAAAAGTTACATGCTTTTTTTAATAATGAATAACATAAAGACAAATTGTTAATAGACAATCATTTCTAAAAATAATCGAAATTTAATATTTTTTAAAAACAAAATAAGGAAACAAAACATTTAAAAAAAAAGGAGATATCTTTATTAGCAACAATGCCATTTAACAAAGATTTTATAATAACTATATCAAATTATGAGATTATCTGGTAAGGCTTTATAATAGCAAAAAATATATACAATATCGTAATAGTAATATAAGACATAAGAAAATAAATATTACTAATTTTTTAAAAACATTGCATCAAAAGGTTATGATATTTCTAACCATAGCAAAAGGATTTTTAATGAAGCACACAATTTAAAAATCACAGTATAAGAAACAATTGTGATTTAACATATACAAAATAAAAATTATGCAATTTAACAAAAGAAGTTTCAGAAATAATAATAAAAAACATTTATTCTCAGTCAAGTAATAAAAATTTTGCAAAAGTATAAGCAACAATGTATATCATGAAATTTAAAGATTAAATGAATCAATCACTCCACATCAACTGAAGTGAATTAAGCTGAAGACATAGCAAAATATTTATTCAAAATGAAGAATGTACTAGTAATAGCAGTTTGGCTTTTCCAGAGTTCATAGTTGAATGATATGAAGCATTAATATATTTCACTTTCTACTGGAAAAAAAATAAATAATTACAAAAAAATTTAAATATCAATTTCATAATCTCAAGGTGCTCTTAACTTTTAGTTATTTGACTTAGAAATAAAGGCAATGTGCTTAAAATAGTTTAACATAATAACATGGAACAGGACTCCAGCTTGATGAATATAACAGTTATACAATCAGTCAGCTATAGCTCAAAGAATGATAATTATAATATTACTAAAATTTAATTTTTAATAAGGTCCTGGCTCTTTTCTCGGCAATTTCACCATAACTTTTCTTGATTATTCAATTTTTAATTTCTTTAATAGGATTTTATATTTTATTAAAGCTAAAATAAATTTTTTTTAAAGACAAAAATAAATAAAAATAAATTTTAACTATCTGTAACAATTTCTTGTCTTTTTTTCAAGCAATCTGTGCACAAAAAAAACCCAAATGTAAAGAATGAATAAAATTGTGTTCTAGTCTGAACTCTGCACAGTAAAATTTGAAAATTTAGGGATTTAATGTGGTGTGGGCAATCAAATTCAACTCATTCAATTCAAAGGCACTGAATTCTAATTATTAGCTAATAAAACTTGTGCACATTTTTTTTTTTTTTTTTTTTTTTTTTTTTTTTTTTTTGCTAAAGATGTCTTAACAACAGGTAAAAACTTAGTTTGGAATTGAAAACTAATTTTTTTAATGATGAGTTAATCTCATGATATAAGAAGAAACATATAGTATAGAATCCCTTCCTCAAATACTATTTTGATGATACCAAGCGAAATAAAAATAACATTAAATTACATGCATCTAGAAAACCACTGTTAAAAGATAGTCGTCAATATTTTAAGCCAGACTTCTGATAGATTGAACTTTTGTTAAGTAATATCATTTTTGTCCAATGAAATTCATAAATTACTTCAGATTACAAATACTGTGAAATTAAAAAATTTAAAAGTCACATATTAATTTAAAGACATTTTTAAAGGTGCTTTCCTTTATCCAAAAAAAAAAAAAAAGGTTTATAGTGAATACTATTTGAGACACATGAAATCAAAAGAATGCCAGAGAGTGCTTGAGAATCAGAGAAATATTTTTTAGATCATTTTCTTAAATGTAAATTCTTAAAAAAATGGAACACCCTAAATATACTATTAAATTATGAGAATTTTGCATACTAACAGCAAGAAAGGCAAACCTTAAATATTCTAATTAATCAGTGCAGAAGATAATTTAAGCACATACATATTTTTTTTTGTGTGTGTTCCGATTTTTGTTTTTTCAGGGAAATCTAAAATCTCGTCAGGAAATATGGTCAGGAAAATAGCTCAAAGTTTAATGCTCCATTTTTTTTTTTTTTTTTGCAGAATCTTTTAAATTAAATGTAACCATTTAAAAAATACCTTATATAAAGACTATTTTATCAAAAAAGTATTTTAATAGTTATTTATAATTTCTTCATTTTTTTAATTAAAAAAAAATTATAATGAAGTATTTTAAGAGGAAAAGTAAAATATTTTAATTGAAAGAATATATATAAACCAATGTTTAGATATCTTTAAAAAATGTAAATTTAATTGATAAAATTTAATATTTAAAAATGCTGATTTTTTAATTTAAATTTCTCAAAAACTATCTGACCAATTCCAAACTATATACTGGATTTTGTCAAATATATTTTATGCTATATTTCTCAATATTTGATGTTATATTTCTCAAATAGATTTAAAATTTTCATCATAAAAATGAAATTTACTTAAATATTATTAAATCAAAAAAATATAATAACTATTTTTTTGCCTGTAATCCTTTTTTGGTAAGGCAAGTTTCTTATATGTACAGTGCTCAAAATAAAAAAAGAATCACCCTTAATAACTTTTGATGTAATGATTGAATCTTAACATTCTAGGATTTATTCTTAATGATTCGAGGGAATAAACTCAAATATGTTAATTAATTAGTGTAGACAATACTTTAAGTTACAAAATCAAACACAAATATGTATTTTCTCTGAATAAACATACCTTTTCTTAGATGGGTTCCTATTTCTAACTCCAAAAACATTGGGAGTAGCCGCATTCTGGGATACATGGTTCCAATAGCTTGGTCAGAAGAGTTGTTCAAAGTTTGGTACCCTTAATGTTAATTTAACTTTTTGCATATTCCGCCATATCTCAAGAAATTTTTAAGTGAAATAAAACATTTTTGCACACAATTATAAAATTTGCTTATCCAAAGATAATATAACGCAAAATTTAACTTTTAATAAATATTTATTATTTGTTATTATTTTATTTAATATTAGTCCAAAATTTTTTAAATTGTAAGGCACACAATTTTTTACATTATTTTAAATATTATTTTACAAGGCAAAATGCAAAATTTGTATGAAATCACTTGAATGGTTTCTGAGAAATCAAATTTCAAAAAAGTCGTATTTTAAAAATTCCTAAGGAACCATTTGACCAATTTTACTCAAATTTTGCATTTTGCCACATAAATTAATATACTTTAAAATTATGTAAAAAAAATTGTATATCTTACAATTCAAAAATTTTTCAACTATTATTTAAAATAATAAAAAATTTTGTTGTCGTAAGTCATTAAAGCAAGGGCCAAGAATATGACTTCTGCCACACCCATACATTACACCCGTTTGTAGGGCGGACTTATTCATACATCTATTCATTCATCCACAGATCGCAATTTTGACCTGATCCAGAGAATGATGAATTTCCAATTCAGTACCCCGAGAGGTATAATTTGTTATAGGAACATGGAGGACTTTGTGACCTGACAGATTTAACATGCACAAGGCACTACAAGGGGAGTCTTTAGCAAGCTGGATTCGAACTCCCGTTCTCACAAACGTGAGTCCAGCACCCTGCCAACCAGGCTATCCCGGTCATAATAAAAAATAATAAATATTTATTAAACGCTAATTTTTCCATGGATTTATCTTTATATAAACAAATTTTATATTCAGGAGCAAAAATTTCTCAAATCGCTTAAAAATTTCTAGAAATCCGGCAAAATACCCAAAAAGTAAAATTAACATTAAAGAGTAAAAACTTTGAACCATTCTTCTGACCAAACTATTGGGACCATATATCACAGAATGAAACTACCCCCCAATACCTTGGGGGTCAGAAATCTGAATCCAACAAAAAATAGATATGTTCATTCAGAGAAAGTACGTTTTTGTATCCAAATTTGTAACTTAAAATATTGTCTGCACTAACTAATTAACATATTTGAGGTCACCCCCTCAAATCATTAAGAATGAGACCTAGAAAATGCAGATCCCACCATTACAAAAAAAGTTATTAAGGGTGGTCCGTGTTTTATTTTGTGCACTGTACACTTTTATTTCACACATTAAATTCCAGAATTGAGAAAAAAAGTGAAAGGAGTAAAACTAACATTATTAGGCATAAATTTTCATATAGAATATTATGGCTCTTATTGTGACTATATCCTCAAGATTGTAGCTCCCTATCTTGGAGAGTAAAAATAAATCCAAAAAAGTTTGTTTATTGACAGAAAATATGATTTCATATTTAATTTTTAATTTAATTATCATCAACATTAATTTAATTCCTATCATTTGATTAAAACTTCTTTGTTTACAGTAAAAATATTAAATCAAAATTAATAAAAATAAAGACTGGCTGTCATAAAGTTTTCTACGAATTAAAATTATTCAATTTTAAAAAAAATTAAAAATGTCTTTCCAAAAAATCATTTTGATTTCAAAACAAGAAAATTCTTTAAATCAGATATGATTAGCTTTTGTTTTGAATAAATTTCTACAAAAAATATGTGATCACGAACAATAATATAAACAATGCAATAATAAATTATGGAAAAAATAACGAAAATTAGTTTTCTTCTGTAAGAAAGAGGAGGAAACTAAATAGTCAATATTGTGTACTAATGTTCTGTATCAAATTAAATTCGTGTAATGTAATAGTTATAAAAACATTTTTCATATCGAACAAATAATGATAGTGAATGAAGATTCTTATTTTGTCTGAACCCCATTCAAGAAATATCAAACTTTTCATTACACAGTCATTGTTTGATACACACTTTAATAACTTTTATTTTCTATAAATTATATTAAACTATCAGGTCACATTTTATTATGCAAAATCAATTAATATAAAAGCCAAATATCAGATTTTAATAAAATTGAATAAATAATTGTGTGCCGCAAGGATGATTATCTTTCATTTTTTTAATAATTGAAGTCTTATTTTAATGGTCAATAGATATTTAATAATGCAATTACTCTATTTCATAACAATTATTCTTCAAAATTCTTCCAGAAAATACTTTTGTTACATGATCTAAAGGGCCTTATGAGGTAGAACAAGGTACCCCAGCCTTGGAATACATTATAACCCTAGTTCAAGTTTTTTTAATTTTTCTTTTTTTAAATGATAATTTATAAAACTGTCCAACAGAACAAAAGAAAATCATGAATGGTGAGAAAAGTGCAATTTATCTTGCAGAGAAAAATAAAAGTACATGCATAATTTTTTAATGAAATTAAAAATAATAAATAAAAAGTGAACTAACTAACCTTGGTTCCTTCACATTATTATTTCAAATAATTTAGTATGTTAACATGCAAAGAATATATAATATGAAATTAAATAAAACAAATGTTAGTATGTTAGTCTATATCAACAAATGTCACATACTTACTGAAACATGGTCTTCACAACCATAATTAAAAACTCTTCATACGAAATTCTAATCACACCAGTCATGTCTGTATCATGTGCACGAAATGCAGCAGTCAAAGACTGGAAAACAAAACTAATTCTATAAATTATGCAATCTTTTCTCAAATGTAGAATAAGTGTAATTAAATTGACACTGTTTGCACATCTATTCTATTGCAACATCTGTAAGATTACTATTGAAATGAAATCAAGCTTAAATTAAAGAGCATGGTCGTAAGCATAAAATAAGGTAAAAATTTGCCTCAACTCTGCCCCTCAGGTAAGGATATGACCTCTCAAAGTTAAAATTCACTTAATATAAAAGTTTTAAAAAAAATTATAAAGGATGTTTATTTGTAGCTAAATGGTTAAGATATCCTATTCATCGTTGAGAGGTTTGTTCTATCCCAGCTAATGATGGTTTAAAATTTATATTTCTTAATGATGAAAAATGTATTAGTCCATTTAAAGTACAGATATTTAAAAAATTACTCATTAAAAATTAGTAACTATTCAAAAATGTATCAATTGATTTTAAATAGTGTTATTTTCATTAGCTAAATAATTTTTTAAACATAATAGTTATTAAGAAATTGATTCTACTGAAATTATAATAAAAAATTACTTCAAAAGATTGAAAAGATTTTTCAAATTTTTTTCTAATTTCCCTTTGATAATAATTTTCACTCTAATTATTTATTTATTTTTAAATGAAAATAAAGCTTTGCTCTCTTTAAAAAAAATATTACAGGATTTTATAAAATTTATAAATGTGTTTTCTTAATTTTTACTAATTTTAATCACAAGAAAAAAATTATTATTATTCAGAAGCTTAATTATTTTAACTATTATATTTCATAGAAAAAAATTTCAGATTAAAATTACAATTAAAAGACAAATTTTGGAGGAAAAAAATGAAGTATTTCTATTCACAAGATAAAAGTAAACATTTCTAAATTTAAAAAATTAAAGATTTCACACTAAAACAAATAATTTGTTACTTTAAAATACTTTCTTAAAACAAATGAACAAAAATCATAAGTTTTTAGGATTCATAAGAAATTAAAATTAAAATCTGTAATCAGCTGAGACAGAACCGGCAGTCTCTCAACAACCAGTCAGATGTCTTAACCATTTTGCCTTAACTGCACAATTTGCACATCTTCTTAACCTTTTTTTTTACTTCAAAATTAAAAACCCGAACTTTAAAGGGTCATATCTATACCCTGTGGCTGCAGTTCCGTCTACTTTTTATCCTATTTTATGATTTCAAATTTTTTTTTAGATTGGTTTTATTTCCACAGGAATTTTACAGAAGTGTGTTTCTCTTATAAGGCTATCAAATTTGTTATACTAGAAAGAAAGAAATCTAAAAATAAATTAAAATGTTCTTAAACTTAATAATTAAATTAAAATAATGATTAATGATTTCTGATATTAAAGGGAAAAACTATAGGTTAACTAATATTATATGTTAGGAAAAATACTTTAATGACTAAGTACATTAAATAAACTTATCTATTGTCCTAATTTTTATAGGATATTTTTTAAACTTGATATTTTTTATTAATAGAGTGCATTTCTCATGATTTGAAATGCAAAGCTACTGAATTTAGTTTCTTTAGCATTGAAGCTTCATAGTAAAGACACTACAGAAAGTATACGCCTTATAATGAAATCCTTGTATCCCTGTATTTTTAAATTAATCAAAAAAATTACAACAAATCACAGAAATGCATATGCAAAAAAAAAAGCCAAGAAGATTTTTTTAAATTTTGAACCATTTTCTTTTGAAATCAATATAAAGAAAACATAGTGAGAACTATTTTACAGAATTCAAGTTGAACTGTAGTAGTGCAATGTCTGCTTATGGTGCAAAATTGTTTAAAAAAAAAGAGCTTAATGTTCAAAATAAATTAAAATTCTTAAGTTCATTTATTTGAATAGTAAAATATATGAAATTATCACTAATATAAAAAACTAATTATTTTTGTGCTATTTACATACGTTAGAGCGAGTCAAAAACAAAAACCTTTTGAGCATACATGAAATTCTAATTCATTTTATTTTTAATAAAAGACTAAGAAAGGAAAAAATTTGGCCTCATTGCAATTAGCAAGCTACAAAAAAAAGAGGCAAATAATAGTATTACTGCAAAAACAGCATTGTATAAGAATTTTGTAACAGGAAGAATTTTTTACAGAGTTATGGATTTATAATATATATTATATAGTTAATGACACTTACTATAACACATTTATATGGTTAATGATACTCTAGAAATGGAAAGGTGACCTGTTTGAAACAGGACCTTTAAAAATATTACAAGCAAATAAATATAGAAAGCAAATTTAACCCCAACAAATCATCCAAAAAAATGGCCATTTGGAGATATTTAATTACTTTTTTGGGCTTAATTTTATTTCAAAAATGGCAAGTGGTTTTTATTGAATATAAATTTTATGTATCAAGCAGCTAAAATTTAGCAAATAGAAAAAGCTGACCATTTGCTTAACTATACGTATGAGCCAAAATTTAACACTAAAATATTAATCTAAAATTTTTTATTAAAAATTCTTTTAATCCAAAATATTTAATAGTAAATGTTTCCTCTTAAAAGAAAAATACACAAATTGAATACAGATGTAAATAAATATATCCCTGGTCAATATAGATTTTTAGAATGATTTTTCTTACTAGAAACTATATAAATTTAAATTATTATGAAAGCGTGTTTTAATGATAAAAAATACATTCATTACTTTTCTCTTAAAGAGTTTTACTATTGTAAAAAAAAAAAAAATTCTTACATTGTACTTATTTTTTGAAAAATGCAACAATAAATGTGTTTTTAACAATAAGATTAATAAGTTTTCTATGCATATTGTTGACTTTAAAAATGTAATGTAATTTGAGGAGGTGAAATGCAAACTCATATAATGAATGTACAATATTATTTCTCAGCTCCTTAGTTTTGCAATTTTGCAGTGGGTCAAAGAAAAAATTAAGACGTTTTTCAAAACAAAAAAAAATCAGAACAAAAATCATGCCATTTTTTGGAACAGTAGACACACGCTAAACTATTTTCAAAAATTTCAAACGAAAAACTAAAAACAGGATCATTGGCTCCACATAAGTATAGTAAAGGAAAATTTTATTGCAAAAGAATAATAAAAATATGATTTAGAAGGTTAACTTTCTAAATTGTTTAAATAAGACAAATTTGGTTTTAGCTGCTTCTAGCGGTTTTCCGTTTTGACTTATTATTATTTTAAATGTTATTCTCCTTACTTGTCTTTTTCTTAATTTGCTTAAATCAGTTTCATTCTTTGATTGGATTAAAAATATGATGCAATTATTTGATTAAAATTATTTTATTAATTTTATTTTATTATTATTTTATTTTACTATTTATATTAAAATTATCTGTTCAGGACAGAAAGTTTTAACAGTTTCTTGCATAATTTAATTAAAGAAGCGTTGAAGAACTCATAATGGTTTGAGATTTTATATAGAAATTTTTACATTACTGCCTCATTAATAAAAATTACCAGAATCAATCAGTTAATACTTACTAATATCAACACTTAATTGAAAATCATAACCAAACTCAATTTCCTTAATTTTTTTAGTAGGGTCTTAATAATCTTGAGACGAAAACATAGTAAATATACTGCTTAACATTTTTGTACAAAAATTATTTAAGGAAGTTACCTTCAATTGAAGATTAAAAAATTCTATGATAAGATTACTGCATTGTATCGCTAATTTTTAAAATCTGACGAAAGAGATGAATCTATAATTTAAACTACAAAACTCTACTCCACAAGATTTGCTACTTCATTTGCTAATAATAATAAATATCCATATCACCCTTGAATTCAACACAATAAAAATTTAATAACAAGAAATAGTTTTCATAGAAAATAGGATGTTCCATAGACAGACAAAAAATGAGGCAAGCCATTATAACTACAAACCATGGGAGCATAATCTCAAAAACAAAGAAACAGATGATACAAAACTACTTTTAAAATAAATTATAAAATGCCAGACACCCAAACACTTAGTCATGATTGAGACCAACATTCACAATAAAATAAAATCATAAATAGATACTGACTTGTAATGTAACGCATGCTTGAATGTAGTCATCGAATGTGATAGAACTTGCACTAGCTCTGTCAAACTTTTGTATCAGAAGATCATAAAAAGTATCTGACAGCCTAAAGCCTAAAAATAAAATTATAAATCTAAAAAGGAATTTTTAATTTATCATAAATAATATTTTAATACACATTGAAAACATGGTAATTAAACATAAACATTAGATACAAAATATCCTTCTAGGTATTAAAAAATATTTTAAGTATTTAACTATCTGTGCTGTAAATTAAGTATTTTAATCAATATTAATGATACTTATCAAAGTGAATGTTCAATCAGTAATAAAATAAAATGCAATAATAGAACAATACTTCCTTGCAGTCCGAAATTATAACATTCCAAGAATTAAAACCTTAAAACATGAAATTACACATTAGTTTTATTTCATTAACATACAATATTAAACTTCAATATAAATACTAGCAAATCAGAGAAATTTAAAAACAGTTTATAAATAAAGAACTTTTTTCACTTCTTTTGTTACAACTTCTTCTTACCCAGCTCTCCAGCCCCTGGTGGGCTTCTGCTTTCTCTACAAGAAAATCTCCCAAGATTTATTTTCCAGTTTCTTATTTTCATTTTTTTCTTATTTTCATTTCATTTCCCCAACCTGATCTCACCATTTTAGCTTCCTTTTTCTTGTTATTATATAATTTTTCCTTCATGATTTTCTTAGACATGTCTGTTTCCTTCATACTTTCAATATATCATATCCACTATATTCTTTTAGTTTTGATGAATCTTTTTTCTTTCTCTGTAATTCATTTTTCTATTTCATAGTTGCATCTTTTTCTTCTTGTGAAATCATTAATAGCTCCTTAAATTCTTCCAGTTATTCAACTTTCAAAATTTCTTAATATATTTTCATTTCTATTGGATATTCTGATACGCATGTTACGATTGGCCTTATTAGGGTTTTATATATCTCAGTTTCAAATTTTCTTGAAATTAATTTACTTTTTAGTAATACTATTACATACGGAATTTTTTTTTAAAAAAGTGAAGAGAAAGAAAATTCATTTTCCCACAAAAGGGTGTTATTTTTAGAGCACAAAATGATTATTTAAATGTCTTAAGAATTTGCCTCATGTCTCCATTTATAAAACTACTTCAAACTATTTTAAGCATGCTTTTCATCATGGTCTCTTTGTATATTAATTTGCTAAGTACACATTTAAGCATAAATTAACACATATTAAATTGTGTCTATGAAAAGTTCAAGATTACTGAAAGATTGCTCAGGTTTAAATAGTTAAAAAGATTTTTTTATTAAAAATGAACAAATATTTGGTTCTATACCCAATAGACACCTAATATCCTAGTTGTAAGCTGACAGAAAAATTTTTGCTCTGTGGCTCTTCCAATTGAGTACTCTGAATGCAGTATTGAGGTACTCTGAATGCAGTATTGAGGAAAATATGACTTACTACTCTCAGGAGTACCCAATGCAAAACCGGTTAAGCTTTTGTATAATAGTCTATAAGTTAATAAAAATTTCAAAATCCAGTCTTGCTACTTTAGATTTAGGAATGCAATAAATAATATTTTAGCTAAATAAGGAATACCAAGTGACAAAATTATTTATTTTAACTGAATTATTAGCTTTTTGTGAAAACTTTTTCACTAAATGCATAAAGTTTTAAAGGATAACAAAGCCATTGAACTTTATCTTCAGCCGTAGCTAGGAAAACTTTACTATGGGCAAGTATTTTTTTTTTTACTTTGATAAATAAACATGACTAACAAATGAAGTAAAAGTAAACAGAGGGAATATTTGAATGTGGCCATTTCTATTTTAATTTTAATTTCTTGATTATTATTTTTATTACAGAAAAATGCAAAGAAACTTTGAAATTATTAAATCGGATAATTTGCATCAAAGAAAATAAATCTCGCTTTGGAAAAAAAAATTAAAAACAATTTACTGTTTATTATGTACTGTTATAACTGGAAATAAAAGACCGACAACTTGTCAAACATTTCATAACTTTTCGATAACTGAAAACATCAGTAAAAATTTTATTTTAAATAATCAAGGAAAATTTGTTTGGATAGATTTTAGTGAGATAATTGAAAAGATATTTTAAAGTAAAAAATGAATAAATAAATAAATTATAACTATAAGGACAATAGAAATTTTCTCCAAAAAAGAAAAGATATTTATTTAAAATCTAGATATTTAGGCATTAATTACATATTTATGGGAAGCAAAATTTCAATTTCATGAAAAATAACAAAAGACAATTTTGTGATAACATTAATCATATTAACAATAACACCATTATTCATCATTCAACCCCTTAAAGTTAATTTTACTTTTTGCATATTTCTACAAATATTGGGAATTTTATAAGTCAATCAGAAAATTTTTGCACGCAATTATAAAATTTGTTTATCCAAAGATAATTCATTGAAAAAAATAATTTTTAATAATTATTATTTTATTATTATTATTTTATTTAATAATAGTAGAAAAATTTGGTATCACATGGTATGCAAATGCTTATAACATTTCAAAGAATGAATTTCATAAAGGAAAATAAAGAATTTGAATTAAATCAGTCGAATAGTCTCTGTGAAATCAAATTTTAAAGAAGTTGCATATTAAATCGAATCGTATTAAATCGAATATATTAAATCGGTTAGAAGAAGTTGCATATTATATCGAATTTATAATCATATAAAGAAGTCGTATTTGCATCTTTGTACAAAAATTTTATAATTCTGTGCCAAAATCTTTTGATTTGTATAAAAAATTCCAGAGATATGCTTAAAAAATTTCAGAGATTCGCAAACTTTGGGCTGTTCTCCTCACCAAACTAGTGGGACCCTATTTCCCAGACTTTCACTCTGCCTTACATTATTAGCTTTTCTGATGTTACTCTTTCAAACCATTACAATTGAGTTCTAGTATAGAAAGATCCAATCATTAGATTTAAAGTTATTCAGGGTGATTCTTTTTTATCCTTTTTGCACACTGTACACTCATGTTATAACAACCAATAACATTTAGGTTTATATTTACCTCCCATGTCCAAAGGCGGTTAAAGATGGTATTGAATGTATAACACAGATTCAAGCAAAAATATGAATTCAGTTTGTTTTTAGACTTGTTTATCACTAACTACCAATAAAACATTTTTGAAACATAAAAGTCAAACTCTAAATATAAATGATAGAGGGTAGGTCATTTTTACAGACAAAATCAGAAATGGAATATGGATTTTTTTTTAATGAAATAATGAAAAAAAAAGTTGGTCAAGCATACCAATATGGAAGTATCATGAAGTGTTTTACTAAAATAATTTAAACTGTCCCTTTTAAACACATAATGTTTGAACTTTTAGATAATTAGCTACTGAACAATTTTCTTAGAATACAACAAAAAAAATTACATTCATGCATATTCTAACCTCCATAAATTAACAACTGTTTCAAATATGACAAGAAGAAACTTACAAAGAATAGTTCGAATTTATTTCAATACATCATTCCTAAATTTTTTTAACTTTCGTGCATATTAAATAAACCTTAAAATTTACTATTATATAATAGTGAAACCTGATAAAGAAATGCACATTACTGGAAAAACTAGTAATTCAATAACATCAAAAATATTTCTTTTCTTTCTAATGATTCATTTACAAGTCTAAAGCAAATGATAGATTTCCAGAACATTTCTGCTTTTTTGAAAAAATAAAGAAACTTACAGATAAAAACAAAATCCAAAATTATTCATTTAATTTAGAGATAAACAACTAATAACTAATCAACAAAGCAAAAAACATGTAATATTTGAATAATATAACATTTAAATTATTCAAACAGTATCGCTATTGTTATCTACTGTTGGGCCCATTCTCCAAAAAGTATTTAAAAAAAACAGTTTTTATTGGCCTTTCAGTGCTCTATAAATAATAAAGGCTGTTAGATTTGTTACCAGGTACGAAGAAAAAAAAACTCATGACCTCAAAACAAATTTTCATGACTTTTTTTACACAGCATTTTGCTTTCAATTTTTTTTATTGAAATTATTCAATTTATATAAATATTATTGAATGCATTTTACATTCATGTGATTAGTAAGATATAAAAAGTAGCAAAAATTTTTCAATTAACTATTAGCAGATATACTGATATTTTATTGGGTGAAATGTTGGTGGCAAGTTTTTCTGAAGCATTATACATCAACTTATGTGGTAATTAAGAGTTAAAAATTTTGATATTCAGTTTTCAAGTACTGTTATATTTCAATACAATCATTCTATACAGGGCAATTTGGAGTAAAAATTTCAGGGAGTCTAAAAAAAGATTTAGAATATTATCTAACAGTTTTAAATTAACATCTCTTCTTCTGCTTTTCTCAGAATAAAGTAAGTTGCGCAAAACCAATTAAAGAAATATTAGCTCAAAACAAATTTTTTTCAACAACAAAAAGCTATAGAATTATTTACACGAAAATAAATTGTGTTAGTCATTATTAACATAACAAACAGTACATAACATAACATGACAGTACATAAAAAATTAAAGAGCATTAACAAGAACTTACAATAAACCCAATGACACAATTCTAAAGCAAAATAATAATAATTTCAATCATGCAAACAAAATATTTTGCATACCAAATGATGAAAAAGCAGTCTTCAACTCATTTCTATCAATAGTGCCAGAATTATCTTTATCAAAACTTTTGAAACAATTTAACCAGTCAGTAACATATTTCCATAAAGCTGAAAATTCATCAAAATTGACTGTCCCATTGCCATCATGATCAAACATGCCTAAAAATATTCTATTAATTAGAAGAAAGTTAAAAATATATTTTATTAAATTTCATCAGCTAGTCGTTTTGTAAAAGGTATGCTAAAAAGTCAAATTACACAAACTTTAATAACTCTTATGAATAATACTACAAAAAAATTTGGTGAAGAAACTGCAGTTAGCATGGAAACTTTTAAATAAATGTGACCAAGTTAAAAGTTAAATCATGATATAGTTAAAATAATCAAAGCCAAGCCATTATTTGACATATTTTCTTTTTAACATATCTTTATTTGGTAAAATCTTTAAAATTACTTCTTAAACTACTTGGCAACTGACAAGAACTAAAAAAATGTAAAATTTTCGAAGTGATAGTTAAAAGTACAATTTTTTTAGTTACAATGCAATTTAGTTACATTGTTTAGTTAAATATAGCTAAAGACTTTATAAAGACATAAAAAGTTTATAAGAAAAAAATTAAAACAGTTGCAGACATAAAAATGAGAAGTTTTAGGCAGGTCTACTACATCTATTAACGCATTATTAAAATTATAATACTGAACTATAAAATAATATAATTATGCTAGTATACATTGAAAATTAAATATTTTTTAAAGAAATTTTTTATTAGAACCCAAAATAATAAAAAATTTAACTAGCATAAGCAGGGATAGCAGACAAATTTTTCAAAAAATAGTAAGAAAAATAGGAGGGTTGGGGGGGGGGGGGAAAGAAAAAAAAGCAGAAGAAAATATTCTCTTTAATCAAGTAACTTAACAATTTTTCTTATTTAACTATTCAAAATACCCACTAAGAAAATAACAATGAAAAATTATTAATGAGATTAAAACAAGCAATAACCCATGTGATAATTGCTTTATTGTTAACATTAATTCTCATAATTTCTCATATTCGAAAAAAAAAATACTAATAAATGAAAAAATAATAAAAACTTTCTATTACCAAATAGAATTTAATTTATTAGGATAAAAAAGCTGCAACATTACAGCAAAAAATAGAAACAAAAATCATCCCAGACAATGAAAACAAAAGTTTAAACCACAACCAAACACATTTAATAAAAAGACACCTTCAATTTTTAAATAAAAGGAATATTACCTAAACAATTTAATTACTTATAATGAGAAGAACCTAATCCCAGTTTTTTTTTCTTTTTTAAGAACTTTATAGGTAAAATTAATTCAAAACATACTTCTTTACTTTCAAAGTTAAGAACTTGAAATAACAAAAGGAGTATTGTGAATTGGAGTAAAAAAAAAAAATTTTCAAATGAAAAGTGGTTCCAGTGAATAGCTCACTGGAAACACTTTTCCTTTCACTTTAAATTATCATTTTTGAATTAGAAATGAGAAATTAATCAAAAAATATTTTTAAAAACCAATTGGTTGATAGTTAATCAAATAGTTAAAACATCGAACATTAATTAAAAATGTAAACTTATATAAAATTAGAATGTCAGTTAGTTTTAACTTTCATTACAATATATCAATGAGTTTTTAAAAAAATGACTCCCTAAAAATTCCCAAAATATAAATTCAGTAATAGTGTCTGAATTAGAGAACAATTCTTCAATTCCATAGATCAAATTTTTAATACTCTACCAAATCGTTTTATTATTAAATTAGAATTAAATATTGGAGGTGAAAATTTTGAAATGACAAAACCTTATGATCATAGTAAGATAAAAACAAAAAGTATCAGCAAACTCATAATATTTTTGATAATAGAATAATTTTATTAATTATACGAAAACAATTAACTATTTAATATTTATTTATTCTTCACAAAAATATATATATACACATATACATGCACATAAACATTAGATAAATATTAATATGAATAACTTTATTATCGCCACTACTTATTTTAAGAAATATCTCTTATAGTTTAATGCATAAACACTTTATCTGATTATCAAACCCCCATTATCTGATGAGTTTCAACTTCCCAACATATCTCTAATCCTGAGTGTGCCTAATAATGAAGATTCTACAATATGAATAAAATTGAGTTATTATTAAACATTTGGGGATGGGGAGAAAGAGATTCGATATGATGAAGCTCTGTGATTTGACGATGCGGCAAGCATTTGTTTAAAATATAGATTAGTTAATAACCCCCAGATTTCAATTAAAATACTATTTTTTTATTTCAAATAATTTTTTATCATTTTTTATCATTTTCATTCACAGAACATAAATGGCACTACCGTACCTAATGCAATTCCTGCGTTTTGGAAGTGTTATAGCAGCTCATTCCATACTATACGAACATATATAGTTTAGTTTTGGAAAATACCGCCTATTTGCGATTAAATTTTGATTGATCTACAAATCTAAGGCCAGAGAAGTTATTCACGAAGCAGATTACCTCTAATAAACTGGTAAGTGGCAAAGTTTTACTTCTGTCTTTATTATCGGGACATATGTGTCCTCTCGTCTTGGATAGTGGGAACAGTGGTTCTCATTGAAGACTACTGGGACACATATGTCCCAGTTGTCAGGACACATATGTCCCAGTTTGACATACGTTCACCAACTAAAGTTCACCAGTTGACATTTGCTAAAAACTACTACAATTTTGAGTCCCCAGTAAACAAAATGTTCTTAAGACCAGTTAACATGTTTTTTAGTCCATTGCAGTCATTTAGTATGCTTTGTCAATGTTTCAAAAGAGGTTTTCTAGCAGCTGCACAGCCATAGTCTCGAAGTCGACATTGTACGGTAGTAACTGATAGTTTCTACGTAATAACATGAATTCCTCGCTGATTTCTGGAACTGTTACAGTGCGCTGCCGCTCACTTTGAATGCAGATGAACTTTTACTTATGTTTAGAAATTATTCTAGGTCTCTCTCTGATCATTATTCGGTCTTATTTTGGCCAGTTTCTTTCTTCCTTTGGAAAGTTCTGACAGCAATGGTCTGGGAAACATTAGATTTAGAGGCAATTTGTCAACTTGAATAGCATGTACCATGAGGTGCAATAAAAATTGCATGTGTTTTGAATTTTATTTCAGGTTTTTGACCCATATCTCTTTGACAGATTGAACACAAAAATTTAACATTTGTCTTTAATATATACCAATTATTCTTACAAATTAACGCTATTACATCAATATTTTAAATGTCTTATGCACAGGAACTTACTTTAGAACAAACCTTAGAAAAGATGAAAAATAAATTGCTAATAAACTAAAAATGAATAAAATTTTGAAAATAAATACACTCTTTTTCAAAAAAAGTATCTGTAAGCACTTTCATTTGTTTTGCAATCAACTACAAAATGAATAATACACAAATAGGAATTGGCTATAAATCGATGCATCGCGAAATATCGATTTAATGCATATATTAAATCAAGCATCAATTTAATGCATATATGAAATATCAATTTAATGATATCAATTTAATGATATTAATTAATATATCAATTTAATGATATTAATTAATATATCAATTTAATGATATTAATTAATGCATATATGAAATATCAATTCATATCAATTTAATGCATATATGAAAGTCATTATATCGGCAAGCCGATATAATGACTTTCATTTTAGGCGATGAATCAGAAATCTGATTTAAGCCGCCGATAGTGACTTTCATTTTAGATGCATCAGAAATTTGATTTAAGCTGCCGAGAGTGACTCTCGTTTTAGGCGATGCATCAGAAATCTAATTTAAGCCGTCGTCATGTAAGGCAACGCTCGCGGTTTACCGATTTAACATGTGCAAATCCTTGCCTACGCCAACGCTGTCACTGCGCTGACTGAGTTTATTTTGATTTTGTCTAACTGCAGAGCTGTTGATAACGTCTAGCTACGAAGACGATATTAGTTTCGTTATGCTGAATAACAAAGAGCGAATTGAATTAGAACTCCCGGTTTCGTGTGAGGATCAGCAGTGAAATAGAACGCTATGCATAGTTTCTTTATGCACCATTTTTGTCTTAGGAAGTTTACTTGAAGATTATTTTCAGATGGACTTACGTTATTTTGTGATCTCTGTCCACTTCAGTTTGTCAGGACTTAACATTTCTTATAAATTATTTTCAGTGAGACTTTTGCTACTTAGCGATCGTTTCATTGTGCATTATTTCGTCACTTTTTCTTCTTCTTCTTTTTTTTTTGTTGGTCGAGATTTAACGATTCTTGTCAATTATTTTTAGCAGACCTACTGTTACTTGGCGATCGTTACGCAATCGCTGTTATCTTAAATTTTCGTTCTGAAGTCAATCCATTAATGAAAAGAAAATATTAATAAAAAAAAGATTCTTCATTGCTTTCTTTAAATTATTGTGTTTCATTTTAAGCAATACAATTTAATAGGGGTATTTTGTATTTAACTTTGTTATAAAAAGCTAGTTTTGTTTAAATTTATTTAATGCATGTGAGTATAAAAATTTGAAAGAATTTGATTATTTTTAGACAAATAAATCTTCAGTCGTTTTTAATTATAAAAAAAATTTGGCTATTAGTAAAAACAAATATTTTTTTTAATTGAATAAAAAGTTAAGCAATGTTTTGACGCTTTTTAATAATTTAACAATAGTACTTAAAAGTTGTTTTTTTTTTTAATTTTTCTTAAAATTCTTTCAATACTTGTTTGCTTCATAATTTGTTAGACAGTCAGTATCATTTTTAAACAAATAAATCCTTAGTTGATTTTATTTTCAAAAAAAAAGTTCTAATAATAATAAATAAATAAAAAACTTCAATTTATTTTTACATTCATTAGAGCATTAGTTAATGCAACTTTATTAATTTAAATAAATTAATTAAACAAGGTCTAACAATGCTTCAAAAGGATGATTTTTTTCAACAAATAATTTAAAAAATGTTTTACTAAAGTGAACATTTCTTTAGTTTGCATTTTTATTTTCGTTTTTTTTTTCTTCCTTTTAATTTTTAATGCATGTATGTAAAATATTTAGTCAGTTTTATTATTATTTTTAAACCAATAAATCTTAAGTCATTTTTAAATTTAAAAAAAAATTAGCTTTAATTAAAATTAGTCAAGCTTATTTTTAAAAAAAAATAAACTTGGGTTTGTTTTTACTTAAAACATTTTGTTTTGTAATAGATTTATTCCTTTTATTTATTTTTGATAAATTTAAAAACTTCTGAAAGATAATTTTTGAACATATGCTACATCGCGATGTCTAACAGACGATGTCTAACATCACGATACGAAATTTCTATACACAAATAAACAAGTCGCCCAGTCCTATACACAAATAAACAATAATATACAGCTTTAAATGGAAACAGTGTTTTGCGAAGTATGTTGATGTTAATGTTTGAAAAATTATACATTTACATCATAAATATTTTACTATTTCTGAAAGTTTTCAAAGTAAATGCAACTGAATCTAAACTTTTGACTGGTACTGTACGTTCAAGAAAGTATAATGTTTCATGGGAAAAAATAATTTAATTCAATTAATTAAACAAATTCAATTAAAATTAAATTAGTGCAATATCTAGAATCTCTAGAAGAACAAAATTCTTTTGGGACATTTTTAAAAATTGTAATTAGCAAAGAAAAAATATGACTAAAAAGATTGAAATAATTAATTTAAAGTGTGTTTACCAATCATGAGCCGCACAGTTTCTGGATTGAAAGGTCGCCATGTTCCTAGAATATTAAAATTAATCTGATTTATTAAACAGATCAAAAATAAGCTTCAATAATCAAAGCAGAATAAAGTTTGAATTTTATTAAAGCTAATTATCCAGCACTCAAATACCTAACTACTTTTCTTTTTACATACAAGAATAAACTAGAAATGCAAATTAATGCTTCTATATGTGTGAAAATAATCAAGTATTGTAATTTCGTGGAGATATGATTTGAAACATTAAATTTTGGTATGTGCAGCGTATCTAATAGGGCAGCCTATCTGCTGGGGTTTTTTTTCTTACTACTTGAGCTTGAAAATTTCATTTTGTTACATTGATTCGTCAAAATTTTATTATTACTCTTCATCTTTTTATATTTTTCAGCATTCCATTTTTATAATTTATGATTAATAATAATTTTAAAAATTAACAATGCAGGGAAAAACAGTTTGCAAGAATGCAACAATGGCGCAACATATGCTCCTAATCAAATGAATAGAATTAAAAGAATATGTAGTAATGTTCATTTATCCTAAAAAACAAATAGACAACTCTTTCAAAATTTGATTGAAAAAAAACAATGGATACCCAACTAAAGTAATTAAATTTCATATAAAATCCTTCAGTTGATTGTATGTTATCATTAATAAATTTACTAAAAACTTCTTTGATAATTTATTTTTTTACCATGTGCAAATCCAATTCGTGCAAAATGGGCAAATCATGTTTCGCACTTGCTTTTTTAAATAATTGTTAATTTTCTAAAATCATTAAAATTGTATAATTAACCCATTTTCGGCTGAATAAAAAAATTGTTTTTAACACTGTGAAGAATATTTTCCAATAATTTCATTTTTCTGCTGTTCTTAAGGGTTCTGAAGACAACTATAAAATATTAGTAATTCATATGGAGTAAATACTTTCTGTTGAGAAATTTTCAATACACGCTAGTATTCTAACTTCAAACGGTTATGGCAAAAGTCCATTTTGTGAAACTGTATAATTATTTCACTTGAGATTTATTATATGTTTTTAAAAACGTTAAAGTTGTAAGTTCTGAAAATGAAATTTAAATATATATATACAGTGGAAAGTCGCGTATCCGGAATCGGTAAGTTAGACTTTTCCGTATAATAGACTCCAAGGTAAACAAAGCTTAAAACGATCTGAATCTAAGAAGCAAAAAATAAATAAACAATATTTTTCGGGCAAAGAAGGCTTTAGTATTAGAATGATATCTAAACAATCAAAAACAAAATATTGGGGGAAAAATAATTATTGCTTAAAATATAGAAAACGAAAAAAAAATTTACAGTTATGAAAATATTAATTGCTCTCTCCGGCATTTTGAACTACAACGATTCAAGCAAGAAGGGGAGATTCCCGTCATTCATTAAGGTGGATAGGTGGAGGAGAAAAATTCATTTCCTCCTCATTTGTCATTAAAGTTGAGGGCGGGGAAGTGATAAATTCTTATTTTCTCTCCCATCATTAGCTATCAATCAAGCATAAAGGTGTGGGAAGCTGTTGGTTTCTCCTTATTTTTTTTGCTTGACTGAAAGTGACTCTCCTTCCACGTAAACGTTTGCTGCATTTACCCTTTTTCACAGTATTTCTTCCTTTCCTAACACTCTAATAAAAAGGTTCCAGGAAATGCCTCTTCTACTAGCCAGCTGCATAGGAAAGAAGGGGAGAGGGGACTCAGTTGTGCTCTTTTGAAAACAAATCTCTCCCCTTTCCTGCATTTCAAAGGAGGAGCGTCACTAACGGTCACTCCATGGTCTTAACAGATCTTTTCTCCCTTTTCTGTTCATTTATGGGTGCAATGCATAAATCACTAGAAGCTAGAAAAGGAAAAAAAATGTCAAAAAACTTCTGTTTTTTTTTAAAGCGGGGAAGATGAAGAGATGTTTGTTTATTTTGACTGTTAAAAAATTTCCGGGAAATCGACCCTTCCGGAAAAGGGACGTCCAGATATGAGACGTTACACTGTGTGTATATATAAGACATTAAAAATTTCATTCAAATTTAATGGTGCGTTAACACACCATCAGCCAAATACATGAGAAATAGGCATAATTTGAAAACCCACTTTTTATGCAAGGTTTCTGAGTTTTATTGAAAATTTAAAGTGATTTCTTTGAAATTACATAATAGATGGAGCCACTAGATGGTTTGTACTGATTCAATACCTTAATGGAAAATCACCAATAGAAATATTTGAGGATGAAATATTTGAAGATATTTATGGATGAAAAACTTCTAAATGAAATAATTATTTTTTCAAAAAAATATTCTGATTCAAACAGATATGTACTGGTTCTGGTTCTTAGATAAGGATAAAGGACTGCCAATAATACGGAAATGCATGAGTCGAAACAGATTTAAAAGCATAAAGCAAAATATTTATTTGTTGAATATCTCTTATCTTGATAAAACAGACAAATTTGAGAAGCTACATTCATTTTTTATGCACATAAATCAAAAATATCTACAATTTGGAATATTTTCTCAACATTTAAGAATTGACAAAGAGATGGTGCCTTATTTCAATATGCATTCATCAAAAATGCTTATTAAGGGGATGCCCGTAAGGTTTGATTTAAACATTGGTGCTTATGCTAGTCAGACGTACATCTTTTCCAATTCAATTTTTAAGGAGGTGCTGAGGCTAATAGTGATCAGCAAAATATGCCATTAGGAACAAGCGTTATTCTGAAGTTACTTAGCATTGTTTTAAAGCCTGAGATGCACAAAATTTATCTTGATTACTTTTTTTCTTCTTATGGTTTATTCGAAATTTTGAAAGAAAAAAATTTTTTGCATCTGGCACAGCTTGCGAAAATCGCATGCCTGGTTGTATATTGAATAACTTCAAAAATATGAAGAACAAAACACCAACTATTTTGCATTCAACAAGGATAAAGAAACATATGCAATAAAATAATGCAGTGGTAACAATTCTTGCGAATAACAGTACCATTTTGCCCCTTGTGAATGCCAAACAATAGTCACAGAGAAAGAAAATAAGTTGTGATTTCACAATCCAACACTATTTTGGATTACAATAAGCATATAGTAGGTGTAAACCTACATTAGAATGCCATAGCTAATTCATCATCATCATAGTTGGCTAGACAGCCCAATGTGAGCCAATGCCTTCCTCTGAAGATTTCTCCATGACGACTTCCGATTTATCTTTGATCTCCAATTTTTTTCACTAATTGCGAGAAAATCAGACTCCACTGAGTCAGCCCATCTTAACCGCGGCCTTCCCTGCTTTCTTTTTCCAGTGGGTCCAAAAAGCAGTATCTTTTTTATTGTGTTGTCGTCACTCATTCGAATCAAGTGGGCAATCCAATTCATTCTATTTATTTTTATGTATTTAATAATATCAGGTTGTTTATAAATCTTGTACAGTTCAAAGTTAAATCTCCTTCTCCAGTTATTGTTTTCATTTACACCACCAAGTATACCCCGCAAAATCTTTCTCTCAAATATTGCGATACAATTTTCCTCCAATTTTGTCATTGTCCAAGCTTCAGAAGCCTATGTCAAGACTGGCCGGACAAGAGTTTGGTAGATTAAGAACTTTGTTTTTCTAGAAAGAAACCTAGACTTAATACATCTTCTCAGCCCATAGACAGCCCTATTCGCCAAATAGAGTCGGTTTTTTATTTCAGGAGTAATTCTGTTGTCAATGGTAATAATTGAGCCTAAGTAAGTAAAACTCCTCACTGTTTCAAATCTATAAGAATTTATTTCAAGATAGGGGTCTGGTACTCTGTTTCTTGAGAATAACATATATTTTGTTTTCTCTACATTTAAGACCAAGTCCATTTGCCTTGCAGCCACCTCAAGGGCAAGAAATGCCTCCTTCAGGGCAGGAAGGGAATGAGCAATTATATCAACATCATCAGCATATGCAAGTAGTTGCACTGATCTAGTAAAAATGTGACCACTGGTATTGATGCCTGAATCCCGAATAACTCTCTTAAGTGCAATATTAAAAAGTAGACAGGAGAGAGAATCTCCTTGTCAAACACCTGTGAATATGTCAAGATTTTCTGACAGAGACCCAAGAAACTTAATCTTACACTTTGTATCTTTCAATGTAAGTCTTGTCAATTTAATGAGTTTTGAAGGTATTTTAAAAGTATTCATTGTTTCAAAAGGATAATTTCTATTGATACTATCCAAAGCAGCCTTGAAATCAATAAAAAGATGATGTGTTTCAATGTTAAATTCCATTTATTTCTCTAAAATCTGACGGAGACAAAATATTTGATCTTTAGTTGATTTTCCAGCACGGAATCCACATTGATATTTTCCTATTTGTGAGTCAATGAATGGTAACAGCCTGAAATATAAAATTCTAGATAGAATTTTATAAGTTATACAAAGAAGACTAATGCCACGATAGTTGGCACAGGTCATAGGTACCATTTTGCCCCTTGTGAATGCCAAACAATACAGTCACAGAGAAAGAAAATAAGTTGTGATTTCCCAAACCAACACTATTTTGGATTACAATATCGCCTATATACTAAGAATTTACAATATACAATATACTAAGAATTTACAATATACAATGTATTAAGAATTTACAATATATAATATACTAAGAATTTCAACTAGTTCAAATATATCACTTATAGACTTTAGATCTTATATAGCTATTGCCCTATCAAAATCTGAATTTAAGAACAATCCATCTTGTGAAAGTACATTACAAGTTACCCATCCTAACAAAGGTTGCAGATCATCCGCAGCTTTACCAAAAGAACAGACTGATAGAATCGGAGATATGATAAATGAGCATGAATAAAAAGCTCGCAGATTATGTAAAGTGCGCGCAAACCACACGATTTATTTATGCATTAAATGCAAACTCCATTTGTATCCAAAATGTTTAGAATGTTTCCGTCAAAAATATAACTGTGGTCAATGGTGTGTATACACACCATTTCTTAAATAATTCTTTTTCATGCACAAAACTTATTTGCTGTCTTAATCAATGTAATTTAAACCTATTTCAATGAAAATAAAACCACATTTTATAAAATTTTTATCTTTGGCCTAAAATAGGGTAAATATCAACCTTATTGATTATAAACTTCTTCAAATTATCCAGTATAGTACAGTACAGAACCCGTTATCCGGAAGTCAGAAAACCGGAAAACCCAAAAACCGGAACAAAATTCGATAAATTTTCTCGCCATTTTCAAAAAAAAAATTTTTTTTCCTCATAAGATTTTACGATTTTTCTTTCTTTTTTTAAAGATGTTTACCTTACCATCATTTTGGAAATAATCATTAGTGTATTACTTCATCGTTTTTTCTTATTTTTAAGATTATTTCCAATTTTTTCTTTTTTTTAGTTGGGTTTAACAATAAAAAAAACACCTTTTTGTAGCGATTCAGAAAACCGGAATAATCAGTTATCCGGAATAGCGATCGCCCCAACCGTTCCGGATAATCGGTTCCCTACTGTATTATTACCCTGCACACACCCATTTTTGGCCAATCCTTAGTAACTAACAAATCAACCGCGCTTTAGTACAGCATTAAAAACAGACCATAAAACAAAATCCCTCTCTTTAATCTTTTAGCTTCTGTTTTTAAGTTTTGTAATCTGGCAATCTTATTTGAAAATATTATAAAACATTCTTGAAAGTTTCCTGTAGATGAAACTTCATTTGAATTTGCTACTCGCTTTATAGATTTTGTTTAGTGTTTTGTTCTGTTGTTTGTTTAGTGTTTTGTTTGTTTTAGTGTTTTTTACATGTTATTTTCCGTTTTTAACGAGAGATATTTTTTACTTAATGTGTTCTATTTTGTTTCAATTTTTTTTTTAGTGCTCCTCACACTATTGCATTGATATATCTTGCTTTGGCTATATTGATACAATACTTGTTTTAGCAGATAGAATCGTGTCAGCTGATGAAGAGATTATATCTTATCATTTTTTGTTTTTCAGCTTTTTAATATATATTTTTTTAAATTTTGGAGGGGGGGGGAACAGAAAAGAAATAATGTTACTTCTAACAGCATACCATTAGAAAGAGCAGATTGAAGTTCAGTAGATGTTATAAAGCCACTTTTGTCTTTATCAACTCTAAAAAAAAAGAGTTTATTAAACAGAAAGCAATAAATTTTCATAAATACTATTTTAAGTTTTATAAAATTTGTCTTTCAATTCGTACACACATATAGTTTTTGAAAAAAATAATTTACCTCTTCTTTCAAGAAAAAATAAACTAATTATCATTAAAAATATTTAAATTTTAAAATATATCTTAAAAATGCATAAAAATTTAATAACCTAGGTTGCTGTTACAAATTATAATACTTAACTGAGCGTAAATTTAACATATCCTTTAAAAGCAATGAAAAAAATTATTATATTACTGTTGTAATATAATACTTAGTAATAAATATATATATTCCTTACTTAACTTTAAAAAAATTTATAAATTAGAATAATGACGGCTGACATAGAATAATATTAATCAACTCTCACAAACACAAAAATGATATAATAGATTAAGAATAAAACATACCCTTGAAAAATATTCCATAAAAATTGTCGATCGGGCATCTGAACAGCCATTTTCAATTAAAATTTCTACATAATTAAAAAATAACATATAAGATGCCAATTAGCTCATAATATATACAAAATATTTAAAATTTATATTTTATTCTAAAAAAATGCTTATAACAAATAAAATAAAATGGAAAAACAATTGGCAATCCTAAGTAATTAAATGACAATGATGAAGATAAAAAAATATATGGTTAAACTGAAATTGTTGTTGCTGTAGTTCATTTACACCGAACTAGAAATGCACAATGGGCTGTTGGCAACGGTCTGGGAAACATCCCTGAGGATGATCCTATGACATGCCATCACAATTTTGATCCTCTGCAGAAGGGATGGCACCCCCGCTTTGGTAGCCCGATGACCTATACGCAAAATCGAGCGCTTTACGGTAGAACAGTTTAACGAGGACCAATACCACACACTCTCGGTCCCTACACAGTCTAATCCAAGTGGTCACCCACCCGCACACTGACCACAGCCAGTGTATCAAACTGACTCTGGTGATCTGCTATGAGCAGTGTCTTAACGATCAGTTCACTGCGGGACAGTTAAACTGAAATATGACACTGAATAAATAATATACTAATATAAGACATATATTTTTTATTGAAGAGGAATTTTATTCATCTTTTATTAACAATACAGATCTCTAATATTTTTTAGTTCAAAAACTCAACTCAGGAAGTTCTGAAAACTAAAAAATTCTACTAAAAAATTTGTAAAGCAAAATACAAAATTATAAAACTACTATGCAAATAAAATATCCTTACGTTTTTAAAATTGCTCAAAAAAATTTTAAAAATAACAGAAGAAATATTTTTAGCAGATAAAAATTTATTATAAAGATTATATGTATTAAAATGAAGACTCATATGATATTAAAGTTTTTAAATAAATGAAAATTACATTAATTATTACTGAGATTTTTAAAGAACAAGGTTTAAAATAATAATTTCTTAAAAAATGCTTCTAAAGTTTCAAAATCTGCATGTGTTGCCTCCATACTGCTTATCACTGCAAAACTTTTAAAAGTTGCAAATTTTTGAAAATCATTTTAGTGGATTATTTTACCTACAACCTTTAAGTTTTCAATAGAGTAAAAATATCAACTATTCTTTGCTATGTTCCTTAAAACTAGAACTTTTAAATTGCCATAAAAATAGTACCTAAAAATCAAGACAAATCAAGAATACAATAATGAAACTATACAACTATAGAGATACCAGAATACATAAAAATTTAATTTTACCAAGTTGACTGCTAAAGTTTTTTTAATTTTCATACAGCTTGATATTAATTTAATTGAGATAGTGTAATTTAAACTTCTCTAAAATTTATATGCAAATATGTCAGCACACACTTCATCTCCACTTAATATTTATACTCTATTCTCTTGTAAATCCTTCCAAAATCTTTAAAAATGAAGAAATTATGACAAAAATTCTTCACAGGTAAGAGCAATCTCGTATATGTTAAAAATATTAAAATATTTCAGCTTATACAAAAGTAGATTTTAAAAATAATATTTCATTAAGCAATACTAGAATGACATACGACAAGCAATACAAAACAAGTTAATGTCTAACAAAACAGTTATAAATTGCTAAACCACAAGTTTTAAAATATCACCATTAAGTTATAAAGAAATAAAATATCATAATATCAATATACCCCCGATAGACATTAAATATTCTCCTTTTTGAACTATTTTGGTTATATATTTCCCCACATTAATAAGTTTATTACATTTATATAAACAAAATGACACATCAAATACCAATAAGGGATGGCAGGTTTGTAATACTTGATCACTGCTTTCTTCCTGCAAATTTGGAAGTAGAGAGTAAATGCTTGAAACTCCAATTTTTCTTTAATTTTATGTTTTCAAAACAAAAGCTTTCTTTAAAAAGAATCTTCCGTCTACTCAATAAAAGCCAAACAATTTTCGCAAAGCTTTTTAAGCCAAGCTAAGAATGATAATAAACAGAAAATTTCAACAGAAACGGGATTTGAATAGGATCTGATTGTAAAAGTCAAATTATTTCGCTTTCATCCTACTATTTAAGTAAACGTCAGTTGCAACGGGCTACCGACTATATTAGTGATGACGTAGAATACGATGTCGTCGTCATCCTCTCCCTCTGAGTGTTCCAAACGTTATCTTGAACTTAAATATAAAAAATAGTAAGTACGAGTGTTGATAAAATGAGAGTCAGTTCAAGAACCGATAAAAAGATGATGGATTTGAGTATTGATCGAAACACAGTTTCAAGAACCAATTAAAACAAGAAGGGTTCAACTAATCAAGTGATAGAAGCGCGTAATTACAAGTGACGACAAAAGTAGAATGGGTTCGAGATCTGATCAAATGATAGTTGGTTCGAGGACCAATGAAAACATCACAGGTTCGAATACTTATCAGAAAAGTATGTAGTTTATAAAACTGATCAAATGATAATAGGTTTGAGTGCCGTAAAAATACAGTGGGTGCGAGTTTTGAATTAAATGTAGTTCTTTTAAAAATAATCAAATGACAGAGGGTATGAATATCGATAAAAAAATAGTGGGTTCGAGTAATGATCAAATGACAGCGAATTGGAGTGACGATAAAAAAAAAAGTAGTGGGTTTGATTATTAAACAAATTATCTTCAAGTACCGATAAAAATTGAGTGACTCCGAGAATTTTAAAAAAATAGATTGTTGGTTCGTTGTAGTTCATTTACGTCGCACTAGAGCTGCACCATGGGCTATTGGTGACGGTCTGGGAAACATCCTTGAGGATGATCCGAAGACATGCCATCACAATTTTGATCCTCTGAAGAGAGGATGGCACCCCCACTTCGGTAGCCAGACGACCTGCACGCGAAGCCGAGCACTTTACGGTAGAACAGTTTAACGAGGACCAATACCGCACATCCTCGGTCCCTACGCAGGCTGATCCAAGTGGTTACCCACCCGCACACTGACCGTAGCCAGTGATGCTTCACTTCGGTGATCTGCTGGGAATCGTATCTTAACGATCAGTCCACTGCGGGACGATTGTTGGTTTGAGGTTTGAATTTATAGAGAGTAATTCGAAAATTGATCAAATGACAGTAGGTTCAAGCACCGATAAAAAGCTCGAGCTTTGAACAAAAGAAAAAGGGTTCGAAAATTGATCAAATAATAGCGGATTTAAGCAGCGATTAAAGGATGGAGGGTTCGGGAACTGACCAAATCAGTTGTTTCAAGTTCAGTCAATGAAAACATCGCGGGTTTGAGTAACTGATCATAAAAGTATCTAGTTAAGACCGATCAAAGAATATGTGGGTTCAAGTACTGGTAAAAAGACAGTGGGTTCGAGTATCAATATAATGATAGTGGATTCGAGTATTAAATAAGAGATTGGTTTTTGTTAAGGTGGCCCTAAAGCCGTATACCTGTAATGTTAAAAACCGCCGAACAGTTACACAGATTAAATAGCGTACTAAGGGTCTCGAAATTTTTCACGACGTTTAAAAATCTTGTTAGCCAGAACCTAAAATGTTTATTTTTGCAAAATTAGGTTGTGAATTATTTTTAAAAGCATATAAAAGTTTTNAATTGGTTTTCCTTAACTGATGAAATTGTAGCAGATTCGAGTACCGATACAAAGGTGGTGTGTTCCAGTATTGATCAAGTTTGAAATCAGTTTAAATGTTAGGGAGTTCGATTACCAATAAGAAGATAGTGGGTTCGAGTATCAAAAGAAGTGGGTTCGAAAACTGTTTAAATGAAAGCAGATTGGAATATATATATATATAAAATAGTAGGTCTAGTATGGGTCAAAAGACAGTGCATCCCAGAACGGAAAAAATGATAGTGGGTTTGAGTAAAGATAAGAAAAGTGTGATCAAACAATGATTTTATAATGATAGTTGTTTAACGAACTGATCGAATGATAGTGGGTTCGAGCACTGATAAAAAAATTGCGAATTCAATTATCGATTAAATGCTAATGGGAATTTGAGTGCGATAAAAAAGATAGTGGTTTCAAGAAATGATCAAATGATAGTGGGTTCGATCCTTGGCTCCGCTAAGATCCACCATGTAAAGCTCGTAAAATCTGCTGAATTTAAAGCCTTGTGGTAGGTCACTGATCGGTACCATGGGTACTGGGATCGGGAGACAAGTTTCTTCCCTTACAAATCAATGTCTGAATTTTGGAAGCGGACTTACAAATGCGATACCCTCTGCAGCGGATCAAAATGAAAATGTTATGTCTTCGGATCGTCCTCAAAGAAGTTTCCCAGACTGTCGCCAATAGCCCATTCCGCAACTATAGTAGGGTGTAAATAAAAATCCTACCTACGAAATAACAACGGCTTTGAATACCGATAGAAAGTGGTGGGTTCGAGTTTTGAGCAAATTAGATAGTGGGTTTAAAAACTAATTAAATGATAGTGGGTTCAAGTACTGATAAAAAGACTGTGGGTTCGAGTAATGAAAAAAATAAAGAATAGATTCGTAAACAGTTTAAATTATAGTAGTTTCTAGTAGCGATAAAAAGACTAGTGGGTTCGAGTGTAGATTTGGAAAATAGTAGTTCCAAGTACCAATCCGGGATGGCGAAGCAGCCAGGACATACTCAGTGAGCCCTCTTAACTTGGGGCAGTCCAGGGCCCGATTAACCTCTGAAAATAGGGGAAGCATAATAGGATTTTGGGGCCCCCCTAACTTGAGCAAAAGAAACTTGATATTTTTCGCCCATCAACAATACATTTTAAAGAGGGAAGAACCATGTGAAAACTATTAGAACCTTAGAAAGGAATACAGAGATCCTATGCAATCATGTTGGACCCTTCTTTACGTGCTTTATAAAGCACGTAAAGAAAGGTCCAACATGTATAGTAGCCAACTATATATAGTAGCAAAAACATGAGGGAGTAGCTAGCACATATGTTGACAAAAATTTGAATATTTCACTAAATCAAATTATAAAATTACTTGTTATATGAAAGGTTCTTTGCAAGATGAGTCTCTTTTTTTTATGCCAATTTTTTTACTAGCGGCAAAACAACACAAAGCATCTCATTTTTTTTTTCTTTTCAAGAGTTTTTGTTGGAGTCATTTTTTTTTCTTATTTCTTTTATTATTATTTTTTTTTTTGTTATAAAAAATAAGAAATTGGGCCCTTAATTTCAGTCACTTGGGGGCCCCCCTAGAATTTAAAAGGGGAAGCACTAGCTTCCTGTGCCTTTTCGGTAATCAGGCCCTGGGGCAGTCAGCTCGTTACTTTCTGTTGAAAAAAAAAACATTGTTTTGAATGTTCGTTTTTTAGAAAAAATTATAAATAAATGATTTGTAATATTATTATTATTTTTTTTTTTTTACAAATGCTGTTAGTTTCAAATGCTTTAAATTTCTCACAATCTAATGTTAGAAAAATGTTGGTATTTAATACATACATATATAGTATATAATGAGGTCCCAATGAAGTAGCATCCACTCTCTACAGTGTATTCTAGATCATTTCTAGCTGCTCCCTCCTCCAAATAGATGAAAAATAATTAAAAATTAATTCCAAGGGAAAATGCTTTTCGATTTTAAATATCTCAAGTTTTATTTGCGAATCGAATCACAAGCCTCATAACTTCAAGTTTTTATTTGATTTACTTAATTGAACAGAATGCCTAATATTGTAGTTTGTTTTGCACATAAATTTTTTTAAATTATTATTTTGAAGAAGTTAGGATATATATGAAAAATGTTTTTTAAAAAATAGGCTATCATTTAATAAAATGCAATAAAAGCAATCGAAAACATCTAAGTGTAATAGAAACTACATTAGTAACACAAGTGTGAAATTAGTAGTGTTAAATTTTTATCCAATTCGAAAGAAAAATTTATTCAGTCATCGAGTTACGCTGTCTTAAAAATCATTATATAAAGTTGCAAAAATAAGTAATTAGGAGGAGTAACTTGAAAATTAATACATTCAATCTTTAATTTAAAAAAAAAAAAGAATGCCAATGGCGATTCATTTAAGTTCTTATATTATCTAAAACTTAAATAGTTCCGAAAAGCTCCTTTTTAAGTTCTATGTGGCGTAACCACATAGAATACCATATCATAAGCATACTAACGTTACAAAAATTCAAAATAAAATTATAATGATAAAAATGGCATAAAAAATAGTTATTTCAAAAATTCTTTTTATTTACTTATTTTTTTAAATTTTCTAAGGCATTCATAAAGTTTAAATCATGAAATGCAACCTGAAAGAAAATTAAATTAAAAACTACTTAGGTTCAGAATAAAAATTCAAATCGAAAAGCCAACGAAAACCTAATTCAAAAAGGTTTTTAAAGTTAAACTTACTCTTAATTTTTAGCAGTAGAATACAATTGATTTATTAAATTCAACTTGAAAGAATATAAATTTTTAACTAGCATATATTTGTTTGAAAATTCGATTCATAGAGATCTAAATTGATAAATAATTCTGTGCAAATGAGCTATAACATCAAAAGGAAAAATGATAGGGAGACATTGTATGAGGGAGAAGGGAAAATGCAGTTTTAAAATCTAAAAATTTAATCAAAGAACTCGCAATATTAGTTTACATAATTATTAAAATTGAGCCTCCAAATTAAAATAATCCTTAAAAAATTTACATGAATATTTGGCTTTGATCCTGCCAAAAACAGGGAGTTTTTTTAACTATTCGGAATTATGTAAAAAAAAAATACGTAAAAAATTAATACACTCAAAATTTAAAGAGGTTAAAACCTTTTTCTTTTCTTCAGTTTTAAGAGTATGTCTTTTTCAAACTTTTAATAATTTATTTCCATGGAGACAAGATTTGCTTTTCTTTGAGTTATTTCCAGATATTTCGTTTCATTGAATAAAATTCGTGCCTTAAGGATGGTTTAACAACAAATATTTCAATTATATTCTGGCATATGCTGGAACCTAAAATATATGTGAAAATGTTTTCTTAGTCCTAATTCCTGCATATTCAGTTAAAAACAATTCGTGTTAGATAATAGGCATGATATAAAACAGGAATTTAAATTTCTTGTGAATAACAAATATTTAATAGCAATTTCTTTTAAATTACAGTTAGTAATGTGCAGAGGTGCGGATGCTTGGGGTTAATTTTTCAATTTGATGCTTTTGAAAAAAAAGTAATTACAAGAGAGGCAGAAAAAAACCCAATTTAGTTTGGTAAATCTAAATCTTGTAAATAAAAACCCACTACCCTTAACATACAGTTTTAAAAACTATGAAATAAACAAAAGAACTTTCAAAATCGGTCGAATCTGAATAGTGAAGAAGCCAAGATAATAAACATCAAGACCAGCTTCATTGTAAGAGGAAACCAAGATGCATTTCGCACAATCTGCTTTTAATCCCTACCAACATGCTTTTAGTACCAAAATATCTCAATGTGAAATATAATATAAGATTTGAGATATTTCCTCTTTCCTATATATTATATACCTGTTAACACAATACTAGTAGTAACAATAATTAATAAGTATCACTGGTGTCGATAATAGTATAGTGACTTTTTTACGGCTGAAACAGAATAGTACTTTCATTTTAATGTCTAAAGATTTTTTTAGAGAGATTTTAAGTAAAATGTGCTTATTATACACATTACTGCAAATGTGCTTTGCCTTGTGCTTACAACTATTTTCTTTTCAGAATCTGTATTTTAATTTATACAATCTTTGAAATCTATACTAATATTGTTAATTTTTTCTATAAGGTGTGAAAATACTTTTCAATGAATTAGTATTTTATATAGGGACTTCAAAATTACAGAAATAATTAATCTATTAGTAGTGTATAGATTTAAACTAAATGTCAATATATATATGTATAAAATTGTCAAAAAATAATAAAAATTAATAACTTGTGATTTAACTATAAGGCCAATTTTTTTCATAACGTTAACACATTTTTGGGATTGAGATTGATTTATAAAATGAATGAATTTAGCTCATTATCTAAAGGCAATTTGAATTGTAAGACCATTTTTTCGGATGGGAGTTTCAAAATTTTACTTAATGTAAAGAACTGGCCATAAATTTAATCTTCTGTGCTTATAACTATAAATAAATTTGATGAAAAATAATCAAATAAATGAATGCAAAATACAGAAGAGAGAACAGCTCTACAGTGTTAGCCTCTCTTCTTGACCCTGTGTAAACCTTTACTGTTATTTGCATTTATATTAACAAAACACCCCCCCCCCCCCNAAAACCCCCCCCCCCCCCCACTTTTCTTTAACTATATACTGAAGTTATCAGCAGATGACTGCACAAACAATGTGTGGAAAATTAGCTTATTTCCCATACGCATATAAACTAGTAGGCAATGTAAATCCTATGACCTTATAAATGGTTAAATAAAGCTTTTGCAAAAGTTAGGAGAGTAAATTATTAGTCTTATACATAACTTTATAAACAGATTATGATTTTCTTGAAATATTCTAAGAAAAATGTTGAGATGTACGTTAAACTGTATGCTTTTATTTATTTTATTATTAGAAAAAATTTTATAAATTTTAATATACAAAAGTTTGACTTATAATTTTAATTCACACTAATGTGTGGTAGAATTAAACATGGTCTGTCAAACTTACAAACTCAAACTGTCAAACTCACTGTTGCGTGAGATATTATTTGTCTTCATTTATGAAATAGAACTCCGTTTTAATAATTCTTAATTGAAAATTCCACAAAAGAAAATCAATTGAATTGCAAGAAATAAAGCAATTGCAAGAAATAATTTTAAAACAATTTCACTCACAATTGAAGAGTTTGAGTTAATACTATGATATTATAAAGAATTGGCCGTAAACTTAAACTTATGTGCTTATAAATAACCAAATTTAAAAGTTCTGCGCTTATAACTATAAATAAACTTGACGAAAAATGATCAAAAATGCAAAATGCAAAAGAGGAAATAGCTTCCCATTGTTAGCCTCTCTTCTTGACCTTATGTGACTTAGACTGTCATTCACATTTATGGAAACAAAGTATACCTCACTTACAAGGAAAATTTTAACAACATTAAAGCTGTTTATTTTGAAGAATATTTACAAATGTACATAAACAAACAAATCATGGAAAAGTGCAAAGATAATCAAAATTTGAAGAAAATTTTTCTGTAAAAATTAACATTCGATATATTCAAAAATTAACATAGGTTTGCAAACACTAAGACAGCAAACTGACAGTAAAATATAGTGTTTAATTTAATTGCTATTTAATATATAATGTGCAGTTTTATATGCATGAACACTAGTTTAATTAAAAATTTATGTGATCTCAAATTCATGGCAAAGGGAAATGAAAAAGTTGTTTGTTCTATTGCCTATGAAAGAACATAAAAGAAACACTCTAATAAATTTCATAGAAAAATAATAAGACATAGTTCAATTGCAAATAAGGCACACAAAAACATAATGCACATAAAACATATAAGGAATATGTTTCTTAGAATGAAAACAAATATATATACATTATTTCTATGCATTTGACAAAAATAAGTTCATCAACTTTATGAACACATAGTTTTAAACATAGTTCATTATATTAAAAAATATATCAGTTTATTAAAATATTTTAATATAACTAGGAATTTATTAAATATATCATCTTTCTCAGATGTAAAAATATAATATATTTCTCAAAAACACAATCTGCATCAATTCAAAAGAATATACTTAAAGATATTTTAATGTAAGCACAATTACAAAACATTACAAAGTATAATTTATTGAAAATGTTTTTTATTTTCAAAGTGCTTTATAATATAAAATGTCTTATCATTCTAAAGAACAAGAGAAAGCCAATAAAAAGAGTATATTGATAGGAATTCACAAAACATATGGTTTAACTTTTCAAACATAAAATAAAGTTATATGAATAATTCAATACAAAGAAAAACAATTTTCTTTAATATAAAAAAATAAACTAAAATAATATATATATGAAAATACACTCTTTTAAGATGATTTAAACCAAAATTCTCTTCAATAATTTTTTTTTTAAATTTTTGCTAGGTTCAGCAATATTTCTATTTCTCTTGATAATAAAAAGACTATAAAAACTTTATCTATTAATCTAAATTAAGTTAAGTGAAATTATACATTTAACATTAAAAAGCTAATAATTTGTTTATTTTTCTTAAATCTCGAACAATTTTGTATCATTAAACACAAGGAAAAAAACCAAAAAAAATTAGCAATATCAATTAATATAATAAAAAAGTTCTGTATTATCAACAGATCTGAAAAAGTTCATAAAATTACTTTACACATTTGAAATATTTTGAAAGTAACTCAATGACAGGTGCAAAAAAATCAGATTCAGAGCTAACATCAGCAAATTTCTGTTCTTGAAAAACTTTACTTAAACAGCTACAAATAAAAATATTGATGAATAAATATTTTAATAATAATTAAAGTTAAAGAAAAATTTTAAATTTCATTAAATACCGGAGTGTCATTCTTCAAAAATCACAAACTGAACATTTTTTTTAATTTAAAGGTGATCTACTTGCAATGCCCTTTTATTAGAGTGTTAGGGAAAGAAGAAATACTTTGGAAAAGGCTAAACGCTGCGAACGTTAATGTGGAGGGGGAGTCAAATTGGAAAATTTGAATATGTCTAAAAGGATACACGTCCTTCAGAAACATTTGTTCTTCCTCTGATGTAATATTTAGGAGGCAGGGAAAAAAAGGGGGTAACATTCTTTTATTAGCATTGACAAGAGAAAGATTTCAAGACCCCTCCTAAACTTTGTTTTAACAACCACTAACCAGATTCTTTCAGTCACGCAAGAAAAAATAAAGAGAACCGGTCAGCATGCCGCGCCTTTACACTTGATTAATAGCCAATGATTGGAGAGAAAATAAGAATTTGCCACTTCCCTGCCCTCAACTTGAACAATCTCCTCTTTACGCATATTTTCTCTATACAAATAAGGAGGAAATGAATTATTCTCCACCTACCCACCATAATGAATGACAGGAATTTCTGCTTCTTGCTTGAATCCTTCTAGTTCAAAATGGTGGAGAGAGCAATTAATATTTTCATAACTGTCAATTTTTTTCCGTTTTCGACATTTTAATCCCTTAACAATTAGTGCTGACATCTAGTTTAAAATAAACTATCTACAATTACTTTAAAAATATCCCGGTAAGGCCACCCAGTGTGTAAAATGAAAAATAAAATGTTTTCCGGGCAAAAAAAATTAATTAGTTTTATTTTTATTGGCACGTAACTACTGAACACTCCAGTCCGGAAATATCACGAGAGCGAGAAATAGAGGGCGAAACCTCACCCTGTCATTTTCACGGGAGCAAGAAGGTAGGGGTCAAGCAATAATTATTTCTTTCTAATATTTTGTTTTTGATTGATTAGATATCATTCTAATACTAAAACATTATAGCCCAAAAAATAATGTTTATTTAATTTTTGTTTTTTAGATTCAGATCGTTTTAAACTTTGTTTACCTTGGGGGGTCTATTACGCGGAAAATTCATTATCCTGACTTCCGTAAGTCCTACCAATTCCGGATACGGGACTTTCCACTGTATTTAATAACTATATTTCAAAAAATGTAGATTTTTAGCAAGGAACATTATGTACCTAAATCAGAAATAAAATTCATCCTAAATTTTTAAATCTTAAGAAAGTTAAAATGCAGGAACTAAAACCATTCAAAAATTCACAATAAAGTATGTTTAATAGTATATAACTTAAAAATGCTTCAAAAAATAGTAAAATAAACCACCAGTTATCTAACATATTATTAACAAAAAAGATTATTAAGATTTTTTTCAGTGAAATAAATATATCTTTTACTTAATATAAAACTTGCTTTAAATTATTTCATTAATAAAAAACATTATTTAATAAATAGTTCATCTTTTTAAAAAAGCAGTGTCTAAATCTAAGATATATTTATCTAGCTTAAATTACAAAAGGTATAACAGCATACAAAGCAAAGTATATGATAAAAAAAACATTCACTGCATGGCGCGCATTAAGGGTTGTGTTAATTACAAGCATAGGCATGTTTTCTTCTATCTCATCTCACGTGCACTAAAATGAACTTTGAGCCTGAAGAGGTGGAGCTAAATGGCAATTTCTGGTGAAGGAACAATAGAGATATTGGTATACAATTGATTGATTTTTTCCCTTGAATAAAGTTTGTATACAATTCTTTAAAGTGTTTTTTAATGCCATTAATATTAGTAAACTGTTCTTAAAATTTTAAATACACAGCATTTAAATTGATTTCTTATGTTTAATTTTACCTGCAGTTTAGAATATTTGACCAAAGATACAATGATTTCCTTTTTGTTGTAAGAGCAACAGGTGGAACCTAGAGTAAAATTAGAACAATTAATAGAGAAGTGTTAACACTAATTGAAATGAATTAGCTCCTTTTAAACATGAAAAAAGAAATTTTAAACAAATACACTTATCTGACTTTTAAATCAGCATAAAAAAACACATGTAAGCTGATTCTGTATACAAAAAAATATTTTTTTAAGGGAAAAAAAGAAAGTTAAATGTATTAAGTTAATGTATACTCATAAAACAATAATTTATGTTAATGTAACTTGTTTAAATTTATTAAGTTTCAGAAAATAAATTTTTGATTTCTTTTTGAAGGATCAGATGCCTTAGTTATTTTGAAACAATAAATAAGAAATACTTAACACTTTGTTAATATCTATTACTGTGAGCCACAATGGCTCAGTGGTTAAGGCATTGAATTGTCAGTATGAAGGACTAGGTTTCAATACTCAGTGGCAGTTTGAAACCTACCCAGTTTTAGATCGATGGGTACCAGTTTGTCTAGAAAGTAAAGGTAGCCTGTGGGCAATGTTGATTACATTTCCACAATCATGACCTTGGTCACAAAATTGTGGAGCCTTGACCTCCATGACCCTCTGGGCCCCAACAGACTGATGAGGGAATGCTTTACTATTTTTACATATTAATGTATAAATTTTGTTACTTAAGAGTTTGTTTTAGAGCTTGTTAATTTTTCTTGGATTCGACCCCTTTTTAATGTTATTGGTTTTAAATTTTTGCATGATTTTTTGGAACTGCTAATTCATCTAATAAATTATTAGCTCACTTTTTCAATAGATAATATCAGCGAGTTAATTTTTTAAAAAAATTAATCAAAATTTATTTTGCAATAAAGGAATCAATAAATATGCTCAGAAATTAAAATGCAATAAAAATAAACAATTCCTTTCTTATTTTTTTAAAATTAATTAATACACTTTGTAATGGGCAAAAAGATAAAAATCTAATAAAAATATATATTTTAATCTGATATTGATCATCATATCTAAAAAACAAAAATAAAAAGATAAGAAAAAAATAGATTCTTACAAGACAGCAAAAACAGCATGGATATTTTGTCTGTAGGAAAATTAAAAATTTAAAGTGTAACATTTTCAGGAATAGTAGCCATATTTTTTTAAACAAAGGAAAAAATATAGGATAGTTGTAACTTATCCAATTTAATTTAAATTATAAAAACAAACCACTTATAAAATAATGCAAAATGATTAATGACATTAGAACAATTCATAACCAAGTTATAATTGCTTTATTATTAGCAATTTATGAAACACATAAAGATTTTGAAGAATATTGTATACATACTTTTATTTTGAAGAATATTGTATACATTTGCTTATAATTTTGTTCGGTTTCAAAAATAACTCTAGAATTCTAGTTAATAGTACCAAGTTGAGGAGTTTCAAAAACTCTTCTGTGTAAGTTTTTGGAAAGTTTTTATTTTTTATTTTTACAGTTCTATTTTATAGTTTTTAAAATTTATAAGTCAGAAAGAGGTTTAAATTTTAATTTATGAAAAAATTGTGCAAAGTTTAGTAAACAATTGTAACTTGCATTGTCAACAAGTACAGAGCTTCAATTAAACTTTCAGCTCTCTAGCTAGTTAGAGTTAAAAGTTTGATTGATGAAAAGTGCATTTGGTAAGATAAATTTTGCTTGCCATAGATAAGACAAAATTGAAACTCATATTGTCACCTAGCACTGAGTTTCAATTAAAATTTAAATGCTTTATCAACTGAAAACAATACAAGAACAAGTGACAAGAAATTTTAATGATAACAAAATATCATAGGAGATGATATGGCATTAAATTCTACTTGTAGTGTTCTGAAAAACATTGAAATCAGCTAGCCAGTCAGAAAATGGTAGAAATGATTGTAAGATTCGAAGTCATTACTAACTTAAAATCAATTTATGGAATCCTTTGTTTCTGTTGTTTTCAAGTTAAGAACAAGGTATTCAAAATGTTAAAATTTGAAGTTCTGAACTATATGAATAATTCAAGTGTTCCTTTCAAATCTAGATTAGTGCACAATCTCTGAAGATCAATTACAAGAATTGTTTTTTATATCAAGTATATTATTTTCTTTCAAAAGTGATCAGACCATCAGATGCAAAGAATTGTTACCTGATGATAAAAAATTTATGTATGTATAGAATAAAAATAACTACAATTATATAAGCTTATTTAAAATGTGGAATTTTTACGAAAATCAAGAATTTCAGCTTAGTAAGTTAAAGATATCCAGAATTTTAGGGTAGCCTCAGTGATAGTAATTCAATCTTAAATATTGTTTTAAAAAGAGAAGAAAAAGTAGGAATAGGAAATAGCAGAAAAAAATGAGGGGTTGCAAAATAATAGGAGGTCTGGGGCTCCTGCAGTTTAAAAATCTGGAAATTTACAAGACCTATAATATATATTTTAAGAATTCTGATAAAAAAGTCATAAAGCTTACACATCACAAATGAACGTGCAAGTGAAAGGGAAGAAAGTAATATATTTAAGATGTAAACAATCAATCAGACTAAAGTAGCCAAAGCAAGTCAATTACACTAAAAAAGGAATCAAGTGGTCAAAAACCACATTTTGAAAATAATTTTTTACAGAAAAATAGATTTTCTTTTTTACTACATTAATCAAAGGATTCAAATATACAAACATTAAGGAGGTGATTATGAAACACCTGACCTGTGTGCTGGCAATATTTTAAGCTAGATAACTGATAATGTTTTAAAACATGAAGAGAATTAAAACATAATTAGCTTAATAATTTACCTCAAGCAAATGGGACAAACGTTCTCGCACTAGGTAGTTGCTTTTTTTAGCATTCAACAGGAATGCAAAAAGCACTCTCTCATTCACAGCCTTCGCCTCATCAAGAGTGTAGAGAAATGAATAGAATGTCTTAAAAAGGAGATGAACATCTGAAAAAAATTTACTTATATGACTATTAAAACATATCAGCATATTTTCATAGATAAATGTTCAATAATACCTTGGTTAAACTGTTTAGTTAAAGGGGATATCCATTGAAGATAACATGTTAATGAAGAAGTCTACTATTGTATAGTTTTTAGCCAATATTCAACATTCAATACAATAAAATCCGGATCTTACTATAAACTTTTGTGTGAAAGAAATATTACAGTAAATACCGTTTTTCATTACTATTGCCTGAGTGATTCATCAGGTTTCAAAGTATTGAGTATTGCCATCTATAAAGAAAGGTGATATATGAGAAGATACATACATTCAACAAGATTACACTTCTAGACTTTCATCTTTCAACAAGACGAGCTCCACCTCGCTGGAACACAATTATATGTGCCTTTTTCAAGCGAGAAGGGATCTCAAAGCTGTATAGGACGCTCTGGTCTAGTTGATGTTTTTGCATCCCCATTTACAAGAGCATGTGATTTCTATCAATGGGGAGTGTGGAATCATGTGAAAGACAACGTTTATGCACCCCTAAATTTAATTTTTTTTCATAAATTTATGCCATGCAGAACAAAATCTTTTAGTGAATAGAATGCTATTTTAAGTATTGTGAACTAACCAAAGTTTTTCTTAATTGCTAGATAGAGATTTGTTCCTTTCTAGCCAGTGCTCTTGCTACTGAAAGTTTGCTAAAATTTTAAATATATCTTAAATATAAAGGATACATGATCTAATTTCTTGATATATGAAAAAACTATTCATCACTGCATTGTTTCGGCCCATAAGTATACGCAGAAACTGAGAATTATTTATTGTTTTCAATTACTTATCAAGGCAAAAAATCTTGTCAAATTAGTTTTCTTTAACAAACATTAGTAATTTATTTGCCCATTTTTCAGTTCAGTAAAACATTTTCATAAAGACAGTAATTACAGCAAAATTAAATATTTACTTTGATTAAAGAAACTTAAATTGTGGCTTTTGTAATTTGAATAGGAGAATAACATGAAAAAATCATTTATGAAAAATTTTCTCACAGATAAAGTTCTTTTTAGGATCTAAATTTGACTTCCATTTTATTCATTTTTTTTCTATACAATTCATAAGGCCTTAAGAAAAGTCACTGTTGTTAATTTCCAAACTTCTTTAAGACAGACATTGATGGAAAGGACATGTTATGCATAATTCACTCTTCAATAATTAGAAATATTCAATAGTTTCTTTCCAACTATATAGAAAATTTAATTTCAGTTTTTGCATATTATAAATCTCTTTTTCTTCATTATAAAAACATTAATTTAATTCTTTACTTTATGATTTGCTTTTTCATTTAAATCATTTTAATTTACATTTTAGAGTATGTAAATTCTATGCATTTTAAACTCTCATGCCTCCCAAAATTTACAGTGATTATGAAGAAGGGTTTGTCAATGTGGACCCAGCCTAGAAAAACCTGGCGGTCTTTTTCAGAAAAGGCTAGCTTGATAAAAACCATTTTATCCCACCAAGTCAGCTTTTCCTCAGTTTACCAATTACAGTTCCAACCAATTTTCATTTCATTCTTCTAACCAAATTGTTTTTGGAAATAATTAACTTATTGTTTAATAAATTTAATTTAATAACTTATACAAAATTTAAGTAAAACATTTTTACTAATCTGATTTCTGCAAACAAAATGCAAAACAAATGAATTAAATATGTGAAAAAAATAAAGTTCATGATTAAATTTCTAGCACATTACTTATCTATTAAACAAATTATGTGTAATATATTTAAAAGCATACACAAAATACTTATGAATTTAAATTATTATACATACACATTACATTTATTGCATAATTTATTCGGATAGTAAACCCTTTGGGAGTTTGTTATAATACACCAATGAATATCTATTATATATATCCAATAATTCAAAAAAAAATTTCAGTTAAAATTAAAATTTGTATTATATATTATACCTGTTTTCCTCTACTGTAATTTTTGCAAAATAATCTATGTTTAAAGATAAAGTTTAGAACATTGAAACTATCATTTGGCAGAAAATTATAATTTAGATTATCAGCATCTTATCTAATTACTAAATTATTCACAACTTCTCTTATGACAGCTGGAATAGAAAGAATATTTTCTAAATTTTGATTAGTTCAGTTCAAACTGTGAAATCCCTTAGAGACTGACAAGTACTAAAATAACTTTATTAAATTTAAACATTTTAATAAAAAGAAATAACGAGAGACTCTCTGATATTTGAAATTTTTAGTTTATTGAAATTGACTAAAAATTTGATGTGTGAGATTAGAGAGAAACTTTATATTTTACATTTTAACAAGCACCAAAAATGTATTTTATTTCAAATTTATGAATCTTATATTTATTTACTAATATTTTATTTGGTAAAAATTTTGTTAATTACAAAATAAAGATTAAAGTGAACATAAAATGAAATTATTCATTAATGGAATGTGAAAGCACACTGTAGATGCTGGTTCTTCATGATAAGTTATTAAATGTAATGAGCATTTCTACGTGTTCATTAAAATCGTGAATTATATACTTGTAATGCTTATAAAACAAATGTTTAAAGTTCATTATTTTTTTTAGTCATTTCAATATCAAAAATCACAATAAAGATAAAAGTTAATAATTTTTTGTCCAAAAGAAGTTTTACATTGAAAAATACAAATGAACATACCATGTGCTACAAAAAGACCTGTGAATTACAATGCTTCAAGAAATTCTATTCATTAACTTTAAAGCAAATTATGTATTTATTTATCATTTAAAACTACTCCCATAACATATTATGCTTTACATTTTACAAAGTATACTTTCATTAACTTTATTATTTTGCAATACATTATACATTAAGAAGGCAAAAAATGACTGAAACAGTTATACACATAAGCATTTCTTTTAATAATTCTCTTGGTAATAATCAAGCAATATTTTTTTAGTATGTACTATATTTTATTCTTATATTAAATATACAGCTATTATTTTTTGTTAGCCAAACAGACCAATAGATAAAATTGCATACCCGAAAACCAATTTAAAATTCTAAAACAGAATATACATTGCAATGAGAGCATGAATAAAAATGTTTCAAAAGATTGAATGTTAATCTATATAATGGCACTTGCACTTACTGTAACTATATAAGAAAAAAGAATTCTAACATACCAAATAACAATTTATTTTCTCACAAAATAATCTAAAATAGATGTTTGTGTTTGCTGACAAATTTGTAAAACAGTTTTTTCAAATTCATGCAAATAAGGAAAGGGAGTTTCAGTTGCTGAATTAAACTGCAAACAGTGTCTAAAGGTTCTAATGCTTTCATATGATTTCGAAGAAGTTTTTAATCATCTTCGTCTTTTTTATTATCTAAGCCATCTTCTGTTACTTCATTTGCGATGTTTGCCATTTGTCTTCCCTAAGATTGGCACCCCAATCTTGCTCAACTTCCTTAATTTGATCAGAGCAACACATACCGTATTTTCTGGCGACACACATCGATAAAAATTTAAAAAAATTATCATAAGTGTCAATCTGGCACAAATGCTGTACACTGCGCATATCAGCAGCCTTACAGAAGATACCTTTAAATTACCATTTAGAATATCTGTATAGCAAAAAAAACATTACATTTCATAAAGTAAAGTTTTAATTTCTAAATTATGAAAAAATAAAATCCATTAATAGGTCCGCTCACTTACGGCCGTAGACTGACTGTTTAGGAAAGGCTGAAATAGATCATCCTTGATACGGGTTAATTTGGAATAAAGGTGCATAATAAATAATCCCTTTAAATGCTCTGAAAATAAGTTGAGTACAACAAAATATTTTTAAATACATCAAATAACGTAATTTCTAAATTATTTGGAGTGGAGAGGGGAATTAGCCATTAAAATGCATTAACAAAGAGTTCACATGAAAAAAAGTTTTCTTTTTCAGCAAAAAACAACAACAAAGCGATATAAATAAAGTTATTAATACTAGTTGGCACCATGCCAAAAAATAAAATTATGTACAGAAAATACTTCTGAAGATAATATTAAGTACAGCAAAATATTTTTAAATACATCAAATAAAGTAATTTCAAAATTATTTGGGGGGTAAAGAATAGCCTAAAATGGAAAAAAGTTTTATTTTTCAGAAAAAAAAGCAACAAAATGATATACAATAAAGTTGTTCTTACCAGTTGGCACCGTGCCAAAAAATAAAGCTGTCATGTTTTACCTCAGAAATACAAATAATTAACAACAAAAAATATTTATATGCTTAGCAGTGCGATAAAAACCTTGGGTTGGGAGTTTGAGAGAAAAAGGTTAGAGAATCTCAAATTTTAGGAAGATAAATTATTCTTCTATTATAAAAAAATAATTCAACCATATTTAGAGGAAGAATTAACGCTGCCACTGATTACAATGCAATAAGAAAAATAAAATGAAAAATTTTAAGCTAAAAATTCATTAAAAAAAAAAGATTTAAAAATTTTTTGCAGTTAACAGTTTGAGGAAAAACTAATAATAAGGAAACAACTAATAATAACGAAATAACTAATAATAAGGAAACAACTAATAATAACAAAATAACTAATAATAACAAGAATAACTAAGCGATCACCAAAAAAATTCTCAAGGAGGAATGAGCGAAGTGGAAACGAGTTTCACTTTCACAATCTTTGGGAGTGGAATTTTAGTGACTCAGCTTAGAAAGAGAGGAGAAGAAAGTGTTTAAAAGAGGGATGTACCTTACCACCTCCACTTGTCATTTCCACTGGAGCGGTTTAGGAGGAATCAATCGGTTTAAGGTGGTTGGGGAAAAGAAATCGCTCCAATTACAATTGCCAAGGCACTAAGTGGATTTCTAGCTTGCGATCTTTCCTTAAGCTGGGGGTGGATACAAGATGCATACCTTTTTAATTGGTCTCCTTATGTGATGCTTTTTGTAATTATTATTTCGTTTATTTATTTTTTTGCAGGTTGCTGCCGTAAGTTTTCTAAGAATTGGCGATTGTTCTGCCGCAAATCGCGATACGGGCGAATATTTCGTTATTAATTTTTTTAAATAGTCTTCTGCCAGAAAATTATTTCACTTTAAATAATTTTCCTTGACAAATTTTTTCCTACAAAAAATAATTTTGTCGGAAGCGTCACATACAGGAAAAAAATAACTTTTTCGACACCGAAAAATAACGTAAATTAATGATAATTATCATCATTTTCCTATATAATTAGCAGATACCTATGAAAATCGTAGCATAAAAGAAAAAGTTGCATAAGAGAGGTGGTGCATAAGAGAGAGTTTACTGTATATGTAAATATGCACGCAGAACATTTAAAAAAAAATACACTTAATAAATAGTAAAATTGGTTTGTTTCAGAAAAAATCCAAAAAAGAACTATGTGGATTGTTTTTTTTTCCTAAAAAGCAAACAAATCACTAAAAACTAACAAAATATTGTAGAGGTTTGCAACACCTAATGGATAAAGTTAGATAAAATTACAGTTTTAATATCAAAATTCTGCTTAAAAGACTTATGCTTTTAGCATATTAAACATAACAGAGAAAAATAATAAAGTTGAATCCTTGAAGCAATTTTAAATGAGCTACGTTTTACACAACTATGAAAAACACCTTTTTTCATTAATTTTTTAATTTATTTATAGATTTATTGTTGTGCTTTTTAAGGCTAAATTAAAAAATTATTACTAATCATGGATTTACTATATGGCCAAACAGATGGGTTTTGTATATTAAAAACACACATGTTATCTAAGAAAAATTAAATTAAATAACTAGTTTGGTTCAACAAATTAATTACAACTAAGAGATTTAATGGTTTTGAATTCTTGAAATTTTTTTACCTCCATTTGGGAACTCTAGATTAAGAGGATCTTCCAGGTAACTACAACAGACAAAATCTGGAGACAGATTTTCAAGCTGAAAAATAAACACATTTTACTCTTAACATCCCTAAATATTACTGATTACAATAATTAATCCTACACAGTAAAAAAATATACCTTTAAATTTAATTGATACTTTTATCATGAGGAGGATATTTATATAATGTATGATCCTCCTTTAAGTTAATTGACACAAAGAGTTTAGCTTTAATTAAATTAGATTATCATTCCAAAAATTGAAGAAAGTATAATCTTAAATATAAAAATATATGCATCAATCATTTATCAATTAAAACTTATAAATATTGTTATTAATCACATCATAGCATGAAAATTAGGACCGAATGACTTTTTATAGACATTGATAAAGATAATACATAGGTTGAAGAAATGGACCCTATATTTGATATACTCAAAATCATTATAAACAAAACAACAAACAATTGACACTGGTATGAACATACATTACCAAACCAGATAACTGTATGAAAAAGCCAAATGGAAAATTTCAGCTAATGTTGTTTAAATGTTATCAAAATAAACTTAAGCAATAACAAAGCATGTTTTGATGAAAATGTGTTTTAACTTCTAACAATAGTTAAAGTATTAAAAATAAAAAAATTACATTCAGATGATATGTTAGGACATTTCTGAGGTAATGCTTTTGAATAAAAAAAAAAGATTTATAAATTTTTCAAACTTTAATTTTGTACATGTTTTATCAATGTTAGCGTTATGTAAGCTAATGACAAACTTGATAAAAGTCATTTTTCAAAAGGAATTTTTTTTCCTATTAGCTTCATTACACATATTAATTATTTGCATAGAAAAAAACATAAAAAATTATGCGTTTTTTTACATTTTGTGGTTCAATTTTACTCTATGTATAACTAAAGTTTTTCAGTAGCATACAAAACTAAATTACAGAAATTTTTAAGCAGTAATACGTTTAAACTAATTAGCAGCACAATTAAACACTTTTACAAAGATAATTTTAAAATTAAATTTATAAATATTGATTTCAAGTTATTAGTTAAGTAAAATAATAATTAATTCAAACTCAGAAAAAAAAACAATGCCCTTGGTTTTTTCATTATTTTTCACTGAAAAAAAATTTACTTCAGTGGGATATTAACAAAAAACTACTATTAATTATCTATTAAAACTACTTTCAATATCAATAAATAGATAAATATATTAAATAGAAATACCTCATCTTCTATAAACTTATTGAATTTAACAAATTTGCTACTATCCAACGGAGGAATTTCAGTAGAAAACTTTCCAATTGCAAATCTTTTTGACTTCAATACTGATAAAACTGAAATAAAGTTTACTCGAGAATTATTTTGAAAACTTTTACAACTGCAGTATTGTGATTACACAAAAATTTATCCATAAAATGCAAATAAGACATTATTATTTGGCTGTGAATGCTAGGCAATTATCAAATGACATGAAAATAAACTATTAACCTTTGAAGAGAAAATTTTAAGAAAAATATTTGGTATACACCTGTGACTTAGAAGGAGAAAATCTGATTGCAAATTTCAACTACTCAGACAAAGCCTTTTTAAAGAATTAACAGCATTCATATGGATCAAAATCTATAAATAAAATTAATCAGGAATAAAGAAAAATTGAAACAGATAAAACTTCAAACGAAATAAAGTTTGTTCGAGAATTATTTTGAAAAGTATGAACTTCTATAATTGCATTAATGTGATTGCACAAGAAATTATCTAGAATTATATGACTTAGAATAAGAAGATTTTCAAATACACATGCAAAACTTATGTAACGCATTAACAGTTTTCAATCAGGGCCGAAACTGCTAGTACGCTGTCCCAAGGTTCTGACATTCAAGGCCTTTGAAAGAGGGAAACATTCGCCCAAAATTAAGATGATTTAAAAACTTTTTTTTTGTTTTTGTTAAAAGTTAAAAAGGAAGTGTAAAGATAGAACTGCTAAAAAGAAATTTTTTATTTTGTAGTCATAAGTTTCTATCCCTTTTCCTTTGAAATAAAAAAAGAAAGCAAAAAATTCTTCCTCCCCCAGAAGAGCAATAATGCTGAACAGAGAGGGGCATAAGGCATTCAGTTGATTGTACAAGATCCTGCATATTATATTTCAGTCCTTTGTAGCTGGAAGTTGTGTCATCAATGACCTATTCTGACTCTTAAAGGAAGAATACTATGAATTATTTAGATTTGCAAGTGCTATGAACAAGATTTCTTCCATTTGAAGTCTTTCCCAGAAAACCACTCAACGCTCCACTGACCATCACCTATGCAGTGAGGTTTCTGGTTCCTTAAAACAAAAATTTTATTGCTTATGAAAAGAAATTTCTCTGGAACTACTTATAAATGTTAGACAGAAAATACAGGGACCCATTGTCATTTAGTTCTTATCCTGCAAAAAAATATAATTCCTTATTTTTTGTCATTTTTGTTCACAGAGCAGTGTTTTATTCTGCCCCATCGTAGTTTGTACAAAAAAGTCAAACTTAAGAAAGCCAAGCTTTGAAAGATGGTATGAAATTATTTGTTGCTTTACATTTTTGTTAAATAATATAGTGACATATTTACACTTATGAAAATTTCATATTTATAAATTTTTTTTAATAGTTTGCTGATATTTTTCTGAGTATATTATTACTTTAAATTATGCTTTACAGAAACTGAAAAAAGATTTACAATCATATAAATTTACTTTAAATTATTATTAACTTCGTGAGAATAGTGACTTATTGATTTTTTCTTTCTAAAACTTAATACAATATTTTTTTTTATTTATTTTTAAAATTTTCTGATTGTGTTAACATTTTTGGTATTTCTTATTGTTCTAATCTTTTTCTACTGTGTATCTAAAATGTGCCAAACATAGATATTAAACAAAATTAAAAATTATCAATCCATATTGTATAAAACTGCTTCATTTTTGCAAAATCGGTGTTGCTCCTTACGCACCTTAATTCAGAAAGTGATGTAATATTGAAACATTTTAAAACTGTTTAACTATTTAGCATTTTTAAAAAAAAAAAAAATTTAATTAAATTTATTTCGATTTTTTCTATCTTCATTCATTTCCATATGTTTTAATGAGTCAAGCTGAAACAAAAAAACATAAGTAATTTCATTTTTTTAATGAATAATGCTGGATTATTTAGTTTGTATTCAAGTTTTTCCTATTATAAAACATTTTATTAAGATAATGGTTTACGACATTAATTTCTGTAAATTTTTTCTTTCTCTATGATTAAATATGCCAGGTTTAAAAAAAAATTGGGAAAAAAATAAAGCTGTTCCATTTAAATAATGGGTGATTTTTGATTTGAAAAGTTAGAGGAATTTAAATTTCTTTTAACTGACATGTTAACTAATTATTCGCTATGACTTAGTGACTAAAGCACTGAGCTGTCGTTATGAATTAAGGGCTTATTGGGACTTGGTCTCCAATGGCGAATTGAAGTCCAACCAGCTTCAGATTGATGAATACCAGCTTTTCTAAGAAGTAAAGGCGGTTGGTGATTAATACTGATCACACTATCACTATTATGCCATTGGTCACTAAATTGTGGAGACTTAAGCTTCCATTAACCCCAGGCCGACAATGAGCTGTTGGCGGGAGTGAATTATTTTATAACTAATTCTTATTTTTAAATGTTATTAATATAATAATTTTTGCTAATTACCTATGTTTGAGCCGCGATGGCTCAGGGGATAGAATGTTCGCCTTCCAATGAGGTGAACAGGGGTTCGACCATGGTGATGGCTGGTCGATACGGATTCCGCATCCGGCTTGCACCGACCACAGTGCTGACGTCAAATATCCTCAGTGGTTGATAGATCATGGGTTAGAGTCCCCTTGCCGTCAGGCTAACCATGGGAGGATCTCGTGGTCTTCCTCTCCATGTAAGGCAAATGGGGTGTTAGTTCTATCAAAAAGTCCTCCATGAAGGCTAATTTCTGCCGATACTTGATCCAGGAGTTCCCTTGTTTTCTGGATTGGGTTCAAAATTACAAGGCCACGGAGTTGAACATTGGTAGTCACAAACCCAAAAAAATTGGGTTGCTGTCCAACGACAGTTACAAAAAAATAAAAATTATTACTTATGTTTTGGTTTCTTACCTCCTTTTTTAAATATGCCTAGTTTAAACAGAATCTTGAAACTGTTCCATTTAAAATGCTGTTAGTTTCAGCAGGCAGTGTTATTTTCCTATCCAAAATTTATACAAATAATTTATTTTTATTTCTGAATAAACGAATATGTTTAAAATTATAATTAGTTTAAAATTTTATTTTTTTGGGTTAATTAAATTGATATTTTATACCAATTAATTCCTCAAGTTTTTCCGTGTTTTTTATTACTGTGTGTTTAAATTAACAAAGTTGAACACTTTAAAATTGAAACTATTTTGAGAAAAAGAATGCAAATAGCATTGAGCTCTACGGTAGTACTTAAAGACTAATTTCAAACTAATAATTTGCTTTGGATAAGATTAAAAATAAAATGTTTTAAGAAACTTAAGCATTTTAATGCAGAGTTCTCAAACATGAGTGCTTCTAGCTACTGTGTCACTTTTGTCACCCACATGCTCTGAGGGATAATAAATTTAAATAAGTAAATAATACAGAAAATCAATTAGAGAGAGATTCCCTGAAATAGACTATGTTGAAATTATATATCATCAAGCATCAATGCCTTTAAAAAGGATTAAAAAGAAAATCCCAAGTAAAACATTATTTACTCACTCAGTATCACAAAATACAAGGGGTGATCAAATGAAAAGGTACGAAACGACACGGTGGGTACAAATGTAGACTTTATACAAAACATACACCATAGGCCTGAGCACAACGATCCCACTGATGACCAAGCTGCAGGATTCCTTGTTCCCAGAATTCCTGTGGCCGTGACGAGACCCAGTCCTTCACAGCATCCTTGAGTACTTCGACCGAGTTGAAGCGCTTCCCTTTAAGGTCTTTCTTCAGTGGATCAAACACATGGAAATAGCAGGGCGACATGTCCGGACTGTAGGGCGGATGGTCCAACGTCTCCCACTTCAACTTGGTCAGTTCCGTATGTGTGACTCTGATGACGTGCGGATGCGCGTTATCATGGAGCAAAATCACATCCTCCATGAGCAGCCCCGGTCTTTTGTTCTTGATGGACCTGCGTAGGTGTCGGAGTGTCTCACAGTACACATGGTTTTTCTGTGCTCGAGTTTCTGTTCCTCAGACGGACTGCCATATCATTTGGACGCCTTTTTTGATAAGAGCCTCTGCTCTCTCCTGCGCATGCGGGCGGCAGCGCATGCTCCGATCCCAGTCAGAGATTCCAATTGCATCCCAAGATGTCTTGCTATGTTCTCCCATGGCGGAATATGCAAATATTTAACTGTTAGGTTTTTACGTTGTTTCGTACCTTTTCATTTGATCACTCCTTGTATGGTCTGTTTTGAAAAATTTTCTCCATACAAAACAAACTTTAGGCTATAAAATCTGCCTGAATTCTTAATATTCTTCACCTAAAAATTATTAATATCTTTCAGCAATATTTTTAAAAAAAATTGTCATAATGATAAAATGTCGAAAAAATTAATTATATTATTGATTACACACTTCGAAAAGTTACCTAAGTAATAAATATAAAATTATATGATATTGGATGATAAAAAATATGAAATTTTTTCATATACTTTTTAATTAATAATTATTTTGGCTATTTTCAAAACACTGGCCAATTGATGTTTAAATTAAGGGAGCACTACGAAGAATATATTCTCCAGTGCCCCAAATGACTAGTCATAAGTTACAATAACTGCTTTCATATGGATCAAAATCAGCCGATCCATTAGAGAAGACATCTTTTATCCAAATGTTTATATTTGGAAAATGCTATTTTGACAGTCTTTGAAAATTGAAGGTAAGAGATCGGGATAAAAAAAAAATATCACCACATTCTTACATTCATAACAACAAAATACAGTATTTTTTTTTACAATCAAATGCAAAAATATTATAAATAAATAGTTACATCTATTATATTACTGATAACAATAGGATGTTGTTGTAGTTTATTTACGTCGCACTAGAGCTGCACAATGGGCTATTGGCGACGGTCTGGAAAGCATCCCTGAGGATGATCCGAAGACATGCCATCACAATTTTGATCCTCTGCGGAGGGGATGGCACCCCCGCTTCGGTAGCCCGACGAC